TCCACAACCTCCTCTACAAAGGCCAGCAGTGAGCTGAGAGCTCACGCTGACTCCAGCTGCTGAGGATTACAGAAGTATATTCCAGTCTATCATTTTATTGCTTGTTGATTGTAAAGTGATGGTTATGAAGGGGAGGAAAAGTTCTCTTACAAGCTGCTGAGTCTTTAGTCAGCTTTTACAGATAGGCAGGAAAGGATCTTAGACTTGTAATGGTGCATCCAGGGAAATATGTCCCCATTGTGTAATTGTCAAAGAAAGGCAACTTGAATGCTAGACGTTATTAGGAAAAGACTGGGGAGGAGTAGCAGAAAAGCCACCTCTGTGCCACAGCATAAAATCAGCTTGCTGATTCTCTCTGTGCAATGGCTGAGCGGCTGCTGAGTCTGTAGGTGTCTGATGCAGCATTAGATCTTGAACGTGACATTTTCCTTTCTCTATTTTATTTTAGTCCCCTTGTAATTCTTTCATGTAATCTATGTACATTTATAGGGCTTTTTGCAGAGGACTGTAGAGATTTTCCATTTATGTAATACTCCTACATATATCAGGCCATTTGTTCTAGTAAACTCTCCAAGACAGGGACTTCTTCCAAGTCTTACATTTAACAAGATGCCTCGGAGAATTACTGCACTTAATTTAGTTGTATTTATATTCACATTAATAAGCTGTGCATGTTCTTTAATGCATTGCACTTAAATTTTTCCAGAAATGAAAATTTATTGTCAAAAAAAAAAAATTGAAAAAATTTATCCTCTCTGGAGAGCAATTTGATAGTTCTTCTTATAAAAATGTTTAGCAAATGCAACATTAGACTTCAGTGTTAAAGATAAAAGAAAAAAATTAAATAAAACCTAGCATGTTAAAATACAATTACACAAATAAATTTCTGTTTGAAAAACACCTGAACTGAACTATGGTGAGTATTTTCCCAAAGAGGAAACAAAAGTAATTTTTAATACCTTCTAGGCTTTTCCTCAGGGTTGAGTGGTCTTTTCAAAAGTGGGAGAAGATTGTGTTATATCTGATATTTCATAAGCAATTCTCACCCAGAATTCTCACCATTTGCATGGGACACCAATACATAGCTAGAGTCCCTACAGGGCATAATTCACTATTTTCTTCTTCCTAGTTGTGGATTCTGCTTTGAAGTTTGTCTTGAGGACAGAGAGAAAAATGCTTATGTGGAAAAAGTGTGACATATTGGAGGCTATAAATAGCCATCCTTTTTCTAAGAAGTGTTACACAGCTCATGAGTTACCATGATTCCCAGCTTTTATGTCCTGCCTTGCTGGGGAGGCCTGGAGAGAGATGTTTTCTGTTTCTTTTCAAGTGTATGTTGGAAAGGTGCTGGCTGTACGTTCCATGGGTACACCGGTTCCATATGTACACAGGGCCTTTATTAAAACACCAAACAAAATGTGGTAGGAAAAGTGGCCCAGGAAGGGATGGCTTATGGGCAGAGCCTCCTGTAAAGCCAGATCTTGTGCTCCATGTGGAGAGGGAGCAGCACTGTGATGCCCAATGGCCAGACAGCTTCTTGTTGAGCATTGGCAAAACCTAATTTTTCACAAGAAGGATGTGATTTATAATTGAATGGCAGAAGGCCTCAAGGTAAACTTGCTAAATATGGTTGGTGCAGTATGCCTGACCTGATGCTGAGGAAAGACCTCATGAAGCCCTCTAAACCATTAAGTAAATGTTTTGTTCAGTGTCTGAAAGCTGCAATTGAATGGCTTTCTTTTGACCTAGACAACCCATAGATGTGTCTGCTTGTAGCTCATCACTGAGTTTGTATGGATCAAGAAATCTTCATCCTTTAAAAAGATCCGCCTGTCCTCTTCCTTTAAATGCTTTTTCCTCAGAATTTTGCATTTCACCTACTGAAATGTCACACACAGTGTCTTCTGGCTTGTTTTTCCTAATAAAAGATCACCCCTTAAAATCATTGAAACCTCTCCTAGCTGTCAGAACTTAAGACTTAATTAAGCCTTTCTGGGACTATTGATATGAATGTAGGATTCTGCCACCTCTCCTCCCCTCAAATATTGTTAGTGCTTCAGTTTGCTGCCATTTTGGGTTTATTTCTTTCTGTGTGGAATGTGCAAAATAAAAACAAATTGGTGACTTGTAGGAGTAATTTCACCCGCTGAGGAATTTGACAAGCAGAGGAGGAGTTGTGTGAGTAGCTCCTGAAAAACGTGTGAAAATCTTTCACTGAGAATGTTACCTTCTAAGTTTGGGCACTGCTTATCTCCTGCTGTTTGTCTCCTGATATTCCTTAATTTGATTATTTGCAAATGCTTCAATTTGCTGGCTGACATTTTAGGAAACTTAATTATTTTCTGTGTTGTCTTCTTCTGTATGCATTCAAACAATTAAAACTTTTATATGCACCTTCCTATTTTGCTCCTCATCTGAAACATTAATTCACTGTTTGGTTTTACTGATTCTCTGAAGTTGCTGACCTAGTATGCTTTTCTGTGTCATGAGATTATTTCCTTATCTGAACCATATGTTACTGTCTTCATGCAGGACCATGTTTTGCTGGATTTGTCAGTGCAAAGAGAAAATTGTGGTACTGACTGACCTGCGTTGTCTAAATAAGATCACCTCTCAAGGTCCATGGGAGGAGCATCTTTTGCATGAGCTGGTTGTCTGAATTCCCTGAGGTGTTTGGGTAGGGCTCAGTTGACTTGTGCATTGAGTTTGTGTGCACTTAAATCTAACAGCCACTTAGAAAGGGTGGTCTTGCAGACTTGAGTTGCCTGCTGCATCTTGCAGGTCAGAAAATTCCTGTGATCAGTCTGCACCACCATGTTCTCTGCTTTTGTAGCCAGTCTGCTTCTGAATGTGTCATTTCACTGAATTTCATTAGTCACTGCTGATTCCTCTTTGGCTAGCTCTCACCTCTTTATGAAATTTTTGATATCTGCCTGTTTATATTTGAAGCTTCATACTCTGCTTTTCATGGGTCAGAGCCATGAGAACCTTTGTCATGATGCTTCTGCTTTCAGAGGGCATTTCCCCTCACCTAGCCAGGTCAGATAAACTTTGGGCACCACTCCGAGACAGTGACAAGGTCACCTGAACATTGAGGTAGCTGAGGCAGATATATTCAGGGTATGAGTGACAAATTTCTGACTATAGGTGGTAATGGGCACCTTTACCCTTTTGACCCTTTTCTTCTTGAACCCTTTTCTCCTGAAGCTTCTACAGACCTGCTCTCACCACAAGCAGGTGGCCTTCCTAGGAGCATCAGTAGAAATACTGCTGACACCTAGGGAAGGAGCAAGTTTAATTATGTTGTCATTATATTACCACTATGTCCATGTTTAGAAAACACATATCAGTGATGAGGATTCACCAGTTCTCTGTGTGGACTCATACCTGTTCTCTGGAGCAGGAGATTCATCTTTCCTCTGCCTGGATAATGACTTTGCTTTCTTTGGTCTCCTTTGCACTGGTAGGCTGTGTGCTCCTCCCCACTATGGACATCACCTTCAAATCTGTTAAGCAACTGCATTTTCAGCTGCAAGCATCCATTTCATTATCCTTTCTTTGACTGTTTCCTTCCCTGATCTGCCCTATTTGGTTGGAAACAGCCATAAACCTTAGAGATGCACATAACGCTTCATAGCACCCAGCAGAAGATTTGGTTCTGCTCCTTCCCACTTTATTTCATCAGTGCAATAATCATTCCGGGTTCAAGCATGGGTAATAAATAACACATTTGAACACAGTAGTGACTTGCAGTGCTTCTTTTTCTGACTTGCAGATTAATGAGAAAAAAAGTGCTTACTGCTTGTATTAAGATGGATGCCAAGAGGAGAGGTGTCATCCTTTTTGTGCTACCAGAAGGAAAACTTGCTTTGTGTGGGCTAGGCAATAAGATGTTTAGAGAAGTGGGCCTGGATTTTAATGCTTCAATTGGCCTGGAAGGAGAAGTGTGCAATCAAAACTCAATGAGCTGGAGAAAGGGGAGGAGAGGAAATTGACTGCTTTTGGTGGCAATAGAGCATACAGTCAGTGGCAACAGTGGACTGCAGGTGGGAAGTTTGAAGCACTTGGGGTATTGTCAGATACTTGGGAAACTTAGGAAGTGGTATGCTGTGCTTAGGAGAAGCAGGGAGAGGAAAACCTGTGTACAGCAACAGTTGCCGCTGGCAAGTGATCTGCCCTGGCACTGGGAGGGGTCTGAGCTTCCACTCAGGTCGGGAGCTGAGCATCTGCGCGGGGCGTCACGCTTGAACTGGTGGAGAGTAATTCTGAAAGAAAGAGGACTCTAAATCCATAGCTGCATGGCTTATTAGTTCCTAATTAATCAGAGGTGGTGGGAATGAAATAAAGAATCCCTTGTTTTCTTCACACAGCTTAATGTAATGCAAATTCGTGGTAAGAAGCTGTGAAAAATATCTCCTCCATGGCAAGTGGAACTGTCATGCTTCAAAGTGTGCTTTGTGGAGCTTGGATGGAATTATAAACCTGTGATAAAAGAAATAGTTAGTTACTCTTGACTTTCAAAGCCGCCTATAATTGGCAACCTTCATCCATTACACTCAGTTTGTAACAATACTTTGTTTTCTCACATTTATGTCACGTGCACTAGCTTGTAGAATAATTCGCTTGCAAACATGTCCTTCTGCTTTGGCTACATTAAAGAGCTGTTTTGGACTGTTTAAAACTTTTTTTTGAAATTTAAGAACTCATTTTGATGGTCATGGAGAGAGACAGTGTGGGAGGACTTGACTTGCGTTAGGCTTGTACTGTTCTGGGATAAGCTGTCCTTCCTTGCCAGCATCTTAGTAGCAAAACAACTTGGAGTTCATGCACTGCTCAAGGTGTGACAGTTGTGTACATTCTCAAACCTAGAGGATAGCAAATGTGTTTAAAAATATGTATTCCTAATAGTATTTGACTCAATTTTTGGTGTTGTTTGATTGTCTTTCTTAAAGTCCCATGCTTATGAAGGGTTGCTCATGGTTCTTATTTTATTTCCACAGTTTGCAACTTCATGTCTCACGAAAAGTGCCTCAAGAATGTCAAGATACCATGCTCCTGTATTGCTCCCAGCCTTGTAAGGGTGAGTAAAGAGACACTGGCTTGTCTCCTTCTTGGGGTAGTACCACACATTTATCACTAATTAACATAATGCCATAGTAGCAGTGGGTTTTTTCATATCATAATTCAAAAATTGTATTAGTCATCACAGAAGCTTTTATAGCTGCTCACAGGCAAAGCTACACTTCCTTTGAGAAGTCTGCTATGAGCAACTGTAGATACTCTGCCTTTGAAGACCAGTCATTTGCATTCTTTAAATGTTACTAGATGCTCTTACTGTGTGTCATTACCTGGAAGTATCACAATAAAGTACTTGCTTTCAGGTGGCTTGTGACCTTCTCCCACAAGACTTTATGTGTAAGAGATTGATTCAAAGGGTGTGAAACATGAATCAACTTTACAGAATATAAAAGGATGCGACTAAGGTACTAAGAAGCTAAACTGAAGAGAAAACTAAGTGTGTTATCCACTTGGGAAAGGATGACAGAAGAGGAGCAGAAGGGGAGAAGGACATGAGAAATTTACTAGAGAAGTAGTAAAACACTACAAATACCTTAAGGAGCCACAGGCAAAAGTCGAATGAGACATGGCTGTAAAATCAGTCATGTTCATTACAGACCTTGCTGACTCAAAGCACATTTATGGGAATCCCTTGTGTAGACCTGTGAAGGGGAGCTGATTCTCTTCCTTCTGTCATACAAAATTTTACCAGTTTCTTTTGTTGTGGAAGTCTGTGTAGGGGGTGAGATGTGGAAGTTTGAAAGCAGTATGCAATCTGAGTTACAGGGATTGGATAAAGACAAATTATCCATTTGTTTTTCTTCAATATGCTTTATCTAGGTGATAAAGCTGCTAGGCTGTGCCAACGCAAAGCTTTGCTTCTTCTCTTTTTTGCTTTTCCTCTTTCCTTACATACCTTTCATCTTGCGAGGTGTCAAAAAGGTGTCTGATACCTAGAAATTTGCCAGTGAAGCAGCAAGAAAACTGCTGTAAGTCTTAGAACCCATGGTAAAGGGACATGTAGGTAGTGAGAAGTGCTTTTACTGAGAATTAGCATCTTCTGCTGTTTCAGTATGTTGGCAATCAGGCATTGTAGCAAAAGGAATAGTGAGTCAGATTATATAGGTATCTACAAGGCCTTTAGGGGGATGGCAAAAATCCAACTGGAAAACAGTAATTTAATTCAGAGTGTGGGCGTTGTAAACACTTATGACAGCTTCTTTTCTGGATTTGCTCTAAATTTAATTCATTGTTCAAAATAGTATTTGTTCCTTTGCTTTTATATGGTAAAAATCCTCAATTTAAACTTACTAATGTTCCCATTTGCATCAGTTATAGACGTCAGTGTAATTTTTTTCTCTCTTGTCAGTCCCTGTAATCTATCTGCCCCAAAATTTTTATCTTGTGATTTATCTGTAAACAATAAACACAAATCGTACTGCACAGCGAGGATAGTTATTTGGTGGCGTTGCCAGTGTTTGCAGTTCAGTGTTGCTGTGTTTAGTTCCAAGAGTCCTCTGTGCTTTCTGTCTTGAGCTATAATGATTTTATTTTGAAAACTCTGGATTGTACTGTTCGTTCTGGACAGTCATGTCCTCCTTGACGTGGTCATCCAAGTTGCATTAATCCTGATCAGCTGTACAAGTGAAGGCTGCCATATGGGAGACGTCGTTTTGCATGCAGGCTCTGTCAAAGCAAATACCAGACTTGGCATTTGCGTAAAAAATATAACAGAGTGAAAAACAAATGACAGCCATTTATACAATTTGTGGAAAGTTTATTTTCTTAATCTCTCCTTTCAGATTATTTATTTATTAAAAGGTCTGACGTAGGAGGGAACACTGGTGGGATTTTTTTTCTGATAGTTCTTTCAGCTATGTCAATATTCAGTGTATTACAGAGATGAGACTTTTTTTTTTGTTTGCCTGGATTTCATCTAGAGAAGATGGCAATTGTTAAAGCTCATCAGAATGTGTGTCATTTGATACTAAGTCAACCCATCAGAGAATAATTTTTCAGCAGATGTTTGGTGGAAACTTTTATTCCTGACAGTAGGGTTTCCTTCTCAGGGTCAAGTAAAGGCCCCCAGAGTCACAAGCATGCCACAACTGCATCCAGCCTCAGATCATTCTTAAGGCTGTCCTATGAATTTTTTTCTCTATTGTAAATCATTGTCACCTGCATTTAGTATTCCAGAGTGGATTCAGGTCATGATGTTTCTAAACAAGCCTTTGTGGATCAATCTTTTGAAAAGTTTGCAGGGCATATGATTTGTTCCAATGGTAAGGTCTCAGCAACGTTTTCAAATTCAAACTCTCTCTTTCCTACGTTCCCATAAGTATTTACCTACTTTGCAGTACACATTTTTTTAAAAAAGGGAAGAAAAGGAGGACAAAAAAATAAGCCACACCCAAACACCAACACAAAACAAAATAACAGTAAAAACAAAACGTTTTTGGGGGTGAAAAGTGAAATTTTGTTTTCCCTTGTTAGGTTGGAATTGAAGCTGTATTACAGCTTCTTAGAAGTGTGTGTGTATTTTGTATATAACTGTTCTTGGAAAACTAAATTAAAATGAGACCACATGAAGAATAGTTTAGTGATGCTCAGCATTCGCTATGCTTATTTTTCCTTGTTGGTGTGTTGTTGCATTGCTCTAATGGTTTCTAAACATTTCCATTTTAAGAAGGTTTTGAAGTCTACTCACAAGACTTTGTTGTGTGCTGTTGTTCTTAAAGCCAGGTTGTCTAGAATGGAAAAATGCTAGTCTAGGTTATCAGCTTCTGAATCTTTGTGTTCTAAAAATAAAACTTTCCTTTCTAAGGAGAGCTGCTGCATTCATGGGCTGGGGTAAGGAATGGGAACGCTGTGGTGCTTGCAGGGGTCCCTGCTCTTGTAATTCTCTGCTGACCTGAGTTTCTCCCTCTGGATGCTGTGTTCAGCCGTGTGCAGCATGATTATTTGGGTCAGTAAAAACGATCTGAAAGTAGATCTTTATGGGGGGGCCCATAGCAATGGGATGAGGGGTAATGGTTTTAACCTAAAAGGGGATGCATTCTGACTAGATTTAAGGAAAACATTTTTACAATAAGGGTGGTGAAATACTGTCACATGCTGCTCAGAGAGGTGGTAGATGCCCCATCCCTGGATGTCTTCAAGACCAGGTTGGACAGGGCTCTGAGTAACCTGATCTAGTTAAAGGTGTTCTTGCTCACTGCATGGAAATTTGGACTAGGTGACCTTTAAAGGGTTCCCTTCCAACCCAAGCCGTGATTTTACCTGGGCCCTTGCTGGGTAGCACTGACCACCTTATCTCAAGAAGGTCTCTCTCCAGTTCCCCAGCACTTGACCCATGCTTGTGTTGCTTCAGCAAGGCAATTGCTTGGAGATAGTCACATGGCATAATTTAGAATCCAAATGAGGGTTTAAACTGCTTGCTGGTAATCTTGGCACTGCACCAAGGTTTTCTCCCTTTTCTCCCTGAAGGGGAACCTCAGAGCTTAAGTGAAGGAAGGGCTAGCTCCTCCTAGTTTGCAAACTCAGGAGAGTTTGTTATGCTCTCTTCAAACTTGATCTGAACTCCCAGATGAGCTCTGCAGCTGTATCAGTGACTCTTTAGTTTCAGAAGCATTATGGAATGGCACTGTGTTTGTTTTAATTCTTAATCTTTGTCTTGATAAGAGGACATAGATGTTGATTTCCTCGGTAGCAATAAAAGCAAGGAGTGAGTGATTTTTGCATGTTATTTTTTCTTTACAGTACAAAAAATACGAGGCTAAGCAACTCTTTAATTGCAGTGGAAAGCTTTTACACAAGTCTTACTTTTGAGTAGAAGTATCATGTCATTCTCGTTTGAAATAGCATGGGGTGCATTATCCATTGCAAAGGGTCCTTGAGACCTTGGAGTGTATAAGGCCAAATGTCATGTCACAGAGATCTACAGGATGGAAGAAAAATAATCCTGGAAACAGTGGGATAGCATATAGATGTGTGCATCATTCCCTTGCATTAGCCCAAATTAAAATTTTGATAATTAAGTATTTGATTTTGTCTCTCCTGTCCTATTATGTGTTGAGACACCGTTTAGCTTTGTGTTCTTAATTCGTTTCAGAGTACCATATAGAATGCATACTTACATTGCCTTTAAACACCAGCCAATAAATCAGGTGATCAGAACAAGAACATCAATTTGAACACAAGTGAAGAGTAGTTGATAGGCATTGTCCCTAAAATGCCAGAGTAACAGAGGACATTAGCACACAGTGTATTCAAGTTGCAGAAATATTTTGCTACTAAATAAGAGGTTTTAAACAAATCAAAGTGCTATTCGATTACTGAGTAATAAGGAAGTAATTGAATAGATATCAATAAGGGCAAAAGTTGAATCACAGAGTTGTTGGCTTCTCTCAGAGAGGGCATAGTCTAGGCCTGGACAGAACAGTCATGGGGTGGAGTGAGGTGTGTTCGCCATATCTACCTCCCTAGAGCAAAGGTTTACAGTATTGGAGTGAACCTCAGAAACTTCAGCTAGGGGAGTGCTTCTACACTTAAACATCCATACATGTTTTTGTTTCAGAAACACCATTTTAGTTTTTATCAGGAAATTTTTTTGGCCTTATGATAAGAGCAGTCTTTGAGAATGACCCTGTGTGACTGCCCTTGTGGGTGTCTGATGAAGATGGTTGCTTCCAAGCTGCTTGTGCTTATCCTTAAAGATGCAACAGTGTTTTTGAACTGCAAGCTAGTGATCTTAACTTAAATTCCTTTTACTTAACCCTTGGAGGCTATTGTTGAGAGTTTTAGAATCCTCCTTTCTGTCTACCCTTTCCTTCTAAGCTGTTCAGCCCCACACTACCTTAGGTCCTGCCAGCCTGGTTTCTTAATCTCTCCGGTATTTTTTACGAAGTCATGCCAAGTGCAAGTCAGCCTGATGTGATGGAGAAGGAGATGCATGGGCAAAATAATATCTGGACGTAGGCCTAGGAAAAGTTTTTATTTAGGTAGTTCCTTTTTGAGACTGCCCAAGACAGCAGCTGCCACACTGGCAGTTGATATATCTGTATTTTTCTCATTGCCCTTTGCACCTGGAAGTCTTTGCCTCGTGATGCAAGATGAAGCTTTCTTCTGCCTGAGCTGGTAGAAAAGAAGTTGCTGCTGGGTGAAAAACAGGCCTTCCTGGAGCTGCATTTTCTCCCCTGCTGCTGCGGCATCCTGAAGGCTGCAGACCAGTAAGACAGCCTGGCCTGACTCTGTACACAAATCAGAGGGTCTGGAGAGTAGCTGGGCCACTCTGTACAAAGTGACTCCACCTTAGTGGAAGAGTACTTGAGTTCGTTATATGCTGTTGGTCACATGCTTGATATCCTGTGACATTTCAGGATGAGGAACAGTTTAAAAGGCACTATCAAAAGAAAGCAATTCTATACTTTGTTTTTCTTCCTAAGTGTGCATTTTACAAGCAGTTTGTTGATGGTTTGGTTTGTTGGGTTTTTTTTTGTTAATGCAGAACTGCTATGCACTTCCACACATTGCACTGAAGGAGTTAGAATCTTAGGTTTCTGTAGGATCAAAATTTATTACAGGCTGATAGGAAACATTTGCAGATCTGTATTACATTCTCTAATGCTTTGCATTCCTTAACAGATGGCAGGAAATAGAACAGGAACTAGGAGTATCTTGTCCCTGAGTGCAGAGTCATTCTGGAGATCATACTGGAGTGCTACCATTACACTTTCTGTTGATATGCTTCTGATCAATATTGTAAGGGCACTTAGATGTCATTTAATGGTATTACTAGAAGAAATTTTCTGTATTTTTCTGTGGAAATCGATTTTTGTGGTTTTCATAAGGTAATTTAAGTAGATGGATTGGAAAAGCAGTTTTAAACTCTCATGAATTATTAACATTTTCGCTGTAGGCCACCTTATGCTTCTGTACTTTGCTGTACTTACGGGGGTGGATATAAACTAGGTAATAACATGTAATGTTCTGTATTCTTTGATGGTGTCTCACTGGCTTTTCTAGTCTGAGTTTCAAATATATATATATATATATATACACACACACACACACACACACACATATATATATATATATATATGGTGCTTGGAACTTGTTCAGCAACCAAAATGTGTTGGGAGAAACATTATGTAATTGATGCATTTGTTATGTTGTACTCGCTCTTTTACCTTTTCTTTGTTTCCATCTTACTCCCATCCCATTTTCCATCAGGCTCTACATTACTTTTATACCTGTCGTCTTCCAAAGCATGTTAGAAAGACCACTCATGATAAAGTTTCTTTGGCTTGATTTGTAAGAAAGAAATTAAAGCAACTTTTTTCCCCTTTCTTTTCCCCTTCTCCACCCTCCCTTAATATTTCAATGAGCAAGTTGTTCCCTCATGTTTGACAGTGACTTGAGACTTCAGATAATTGTCACCATGGTCTGAACAGCTGAAGAATTTAGACTTGGTCTCCTTCTCTCGAGTATTCTAGATAAGTACAGTCAGACCCTGCATAAGTTCGCCTTCTGTCAAAGTCCTTTCTCACAATTTTTCAGAAAATACACACTGTTTTCCACATGTTCTTTTTTTTTTAGCAGAACCTCTCTGTGGCAATAATGAACGACCTGCATTTCTAAGCTAGACTTAAATAAAATAGCCAGACTCATGGCCAGAAAAAGTCACCTGTGTTTGAAATGTGGGTTGTTGAGGGGGTTGGATGCTTATGCTGGGTGTCCAGAGCAGTTTGTTCACACCCTGGGGCTAAAGGAGGCCTGCCCTGCATCTGAATTCTTCTCTCTTGGGTGGCTGCATGGTGCTTGAGGCTGTGGCAGGAGTAGAGCACTTAAAGATGACACTTGAAAACTGAGGACAGGTTGGGATATACAGAAAAGCTTGCCTGAAGAAATCCCACCAGGGCTTTTCAGTACTCCTCGCAGTTGCAGTGTCTGGGTCAGGTTGTGCTCACATAGCCACTTCTTGCCAACTTTTTGCACTTGAATTCATTGTGCAGGTTGAATTTTGTGCAAGTGGCCTTCTCCCAGCAGACTTTTTTTTTCTTGGAGCGGCTAGAGTGAGCTGCAGCTCTGGCACTTTACCTCCACAACAACTGAGCCCAGGTAACTTGTATGTCACTGTACAGAGAGGTTTGTTTCTTCCTTCTCTTGAAGAAGTAGCAGGGTGGGCAGGGATTATGAGCCTTAAACTTAATCTGGGCCTTAAATTTATCTTAATAGTTTGATTAAAGCTTCTTAGGCTTTCCAGGATAATTTATCCCCACCAAGGATATATATTCTTTTTGTAAACATACATTATGTGGCTTGAGTATTCTGATTTTTAAAAAAATTATGTAAGCCAGCTATGAACTTTGTCAGAGATGGAGGGCTGCAGAGAATGAAATTTCAGTTTGGGCTGGTAGGAGTAGGGTATGGACCTGAAAAGAATGGTTTGGCTGTATTTTTTAATCCCCAATTTGTACATCAAGTTAAACCTTGAAGCTTTTGGACGCAACACTGTTACATATCGTATTGGAGATACTGATATGGAGTCTTTTTTGTAGGCTGGCTGCCAGCCAAGTTTTGTGGGGAGCATGATATCAGAATGGGCAGTTTCCTGGTCAGTCAGGGACCAAGGATTCCTCACGGTCTGCTGGGGCAGCGAGCTGGTGACTGTGTTTCACTGGTCAGCTGCTGTGCACTATCCTGTTCATGTTTAGTAACACAAACGTATTTCATACCTCTCTTTGTCCTCTTTTATCTCCCAAAGCTTAATTCTGAGGAGCACTGAGGAACCACATGCTTTGCAGTTTGGGACTTACTAATTTTTCTCGATTAAACTTCCAGCATTGTTCTTTTCTCCTTGTGTTGCATCTGGCAAAACTTTATCTCACCACTTTCATTGTTCATGTTTGAATAACAGGATTGTTTGGTGTAACTGTTCCCATACTTTCTGAGACAGAAAATTATTGTGAGAATTCGATGCTTATAACTGGAAGCAACTCCTTGGTTCATCAAATTCTGTGTTCACAGTACGTGTCAGATTTGCTGCTAATAGTTCTCAGGAAAACCTCAATATACAAGGAAAAGAATTCAAAACCTGATGAATAATTGAAGGATGTTTTACCAGTATATCTGAGAGGAAAAGCTGCTATTCTGTGACTACATGTATCTGAAGTCTTTATTTCCAAAGTTTTACCGGGAATGATTAATTTCATTTGGGACCTAAATAATAGTTGGTCGGTTTTTATCAGAAATACAACCACAAGATAAACTTGATGTGTAAAACTTCATTGTAGTAAGAAGGGCATGTGAAATGCATAATACTAAATACCTAAATCCCGGCAAACTTTTGTGGAACTCATTTGGATTCCAGGACTTTAAACACGCAGTTATGTTCTTTCCTTCTAATGTGAATGTCACTTTAGCAGAGCTGTGCATCTTGTAGGAACAGTAGTCTCTAGAAAATGTATAAAGCTTAAGTATGTTTTTTATTCTTTACTTTGCTTCATCTGTTGTTACTTTGGTACTATCACTTCCCATCTTCATTATTAATCAAGAATTAATAATTAATAAAATCAATTAAGCAAGAAAAAACTGATTTAAGGTAAGTGAATAATAAGAAACACATTTGCCAAAACTGTTGGTACAGGCAGCTCTTGTAAGAGAAAATCGTAGTCTATCATTTTCAACCTACAGTCAAGTGGAAACTCAGTCTGGATGTACTTCAGGAGCTGGATATCATTCAGGCTTTGAAGCTTTGGATAAGGCAGGAAGAGACAAACCAGTCTCTTTGGTCAACCAGTGGCCAGGCTATATTTGGAGAGGAAGTGAAAGGCGAATGGAGAGCGCTGAACTGTAGCAGCACTGAGATGTTAAAAGTTGTCTTGTGCATGTCTTTAGGGTATTTTGTTCACCTGTGCAGTAATTACACATTAATTGTCCTTGATTCAATTAAGAATGCTTAGAAGAACAGCTGAGATTACAGGTATATCCCAAAGGAAGCCTTTGGATTCATATTGTTGTGGATCATCAAGAAGCTAATCAGCTTAAAAATATATACAATACATATTAATTCCCAAGAATTTTTAAAAGTTACATTTAAGTATTTAACATATATTTCTAAGTATAGTTACTTTTTAAAGGATGTTTCATCTGTCTATTTATTCTTGCCCTTAGTTAAGTTTATGTTGTATGTACTGCCCTGTTGTCACAAGATAAAGCAGCTTCTATGAATTTTAACTGACACTTTGGAAGTTGAAATTGATGATGTCTTATGCATTCTTTGCTGGCAGGTTCCAGTTGCACACTGTTTCGGGCCTCCAGGACTTTACAAAAGAAAGTTTTGCGCTGTGTGCAGGAAGTCCTTGGAGTCACTTGCCTTTCGATGTGAAGGTAACTTAAACCCTTCTTGTACGGCCATCTGTGTGCCACCCAGTAACCTACAGTTTCCTTGCACTGCATACCTTGAGCGCTTGAAAAATTTTTGGTTTGTTTATTATCCATTCATTGGTCGTGGGAAGGTGTACTTCAAACTAAGGAATAATAAATCAACCACCTTCCGTAAACTGCAAATTTTGTCAAACCTGTACACACTTTTTGTATTTCCGCCAATTTACTTTGAGCAAGTCTGTGGTGGTGTGCAATGAATCCCTGCCTGAGATGGGCAAAGAATGAGGAGCTGTTTTGGTGAAAGACTTGTCCTGTTGCAGTAATTTATTTCTGTTTCCAGTGGAAACTTTTGATACAGAGAATCACCAGGTATGTGTATTTCTAGAAAATAATGTAGAATTTCCTGTGTTACTCGTCTCAGATATCTGTTACTTGTAATGAGGATGAGGTACCTTCAATGGAAAGATATTTGAAAATATTGTTTGTCAAAATAATACTGCTCTCAGTGTTCTGAAATGGATTCTCTGAAAAAACAGTAATTAAAGAAATCACCCAAATACCCAATTTTTTAATTTGAAATACATGTTGGCATGAGTACATGACTGATTTTGATGTAGGACAGCTCTTCAATTCTCCCTTGTCTTAAATGTCTATTAGTTGTTCAGTTGAGTTGTGAGGTTAAATAGAATTTACTGTTTTATAGGAATATTACCTCTGAACTCTTTAAAAAAAAGTCTAATGAATGAAAAATCAATTCTTTAGGGAATTGAGTTGTTTCCAAAATCGCTGTTTTGCTAACGATAATGTCTTATTAAATATGATTTTTCTGTGTGTATGTGTAGGGGAAGCAATCCTCTTTGATCACAGCATTTAGACTTAGAATGGCTCAGTATTTCTGTTTCTGCTTTTGTCTGTTGAGTTGCATAATGGAGCCAAACTGTGGGAGTGATTATACTAAGTGACATATTCCCACTCTGACTAGTGGGAATATGTCACTTAGTATAGTCCCCACGTGATCAGGACGGTTTGGTAGGATGTTCTGTGAGCTACAGATAGCACAGGGAATTTTCTAGTGATCTGTCTTAGTAAGACTCAGAACCTGTGTGCCATTAGATAAACATAGAAATTCGCAAATAGCTGTCACTAGTTATACCCTCTTAACTATTGCAAATAGCTTTAGTTTAGTGATCCAATTTAGTTAAAGCTTTCTAAATTTTGCTTTCATATTCTTACTCTATTAATTCTACTGCATTCGCACTGTCTCCGTTTGTTGGGTTTACCCCAGCCAGCTGCCAAGCACCACACACAGCCACTCACTGCCGGCCCCACCTGTGGGATCAGAGACTTGGAAGACAGTGTAATGTGGAAAGCAAAACCCGCACAAACACACAGGCAGAGAAAAATGAAGAAGTCATTCCCAGCTTCCCGTGGGCAGGCAGGTGTTTCTCATCTCTCAGGACAGCAGGACCTCCTCACACCTCACAGTGACTTGGGAGGACAAATGCCATCACTCCACATGTTCCCCATTCCTCCTTCTTGTGCCCAGCTTTAAATACTGAGCAGGATGTTGATGGTCTGGAACGCCCCTTTGGCCAGTTTGGGTCACCTGTCCTGGCTGTGTCTCCTCTCAGCCTCCCACAAATTCCACCCCAGCATGGCAGTACAAAAAGCAGAAAAGGCCTTGAGTGTGTGTAAGCCCTGCTCCAAGAATAACTAAAACATCTCTATATTATCAACCCTGTGTGCAGCGCTAACCCAAAACACAGCCCCGTTCTAGCCACTGTGAAGAAAATTAACTCTGCTCCAGACAAATCCAGCACGTAAGTGCAAAGGGATATTTTCTTCAGATGCTTCTATTTAAGTGTTTGTAAACATGAAGCACATGAAATCATATGTTGTACTTAGGTATTACACATGCACAGTATTTTTTTATGGGTTGTTGAAGGTTCTCTGTTGAATTGTTTTCCTCGCATGGATTTTACAGTTTTACTATTTTGTGTGGTGTGACTTGTTTGGTGCCCTTTTTCTGAACACCAGTAAGTCTACCATTTGTTTCTCTGCTAATTTTTTTAAATGTATCTTAAAAAGGGCAGCTGAAGTTCATAAAATGCACAAGAGTCTTCCTTTATTCTTCAAAAATGCTTGTGGAATTTGTTTTAGAGGTTTAGTGTCTTAAGCTGTCAAACTTTTCAATTCAGATGGAGATATTGAACTTTCTTCCTTTTTTTTTTGTTTATCTCTAATGACTTAGCTTAATACTGCAAATCTAGTCTTGTTTATGATGTTCTGATACTAAAATTAAGAACTTTTCCTGGACTCTGCCATAATTAACATAAAAACAAGTGTTAAGGCGGAGTTGCCTTCTCTAAACAAATTATTGACATCATTAAATGTACTTGTAAAATAATCACTTTTTTCAAGTTATTTTAATCACTTGATTTACACTGTTTGTATATTAAAATAGAATACACTTTCTTGAAAGGAAGTAAAAGGTTTCACCCACATAAATCTTGTGGATGCACAGTAGGGGACCTGTTCTCAGAAATGAGCATGCATGTGTATCCATCCATATGGAAATAAATATATACATGCCATTGGTAAAAATGACAATAGATTGACTTCAAATTCTGGTGACAGTTACTGATTGCTTTGGATAGCTATTTTTGCTACCAGATTTCAGTGGTGTCAGTTGAACCTGGACTCATGATGGTGAGAGTTGCTGTTCCTTTTATTTCCAGGAAGAAGGGATGGAAAGTAAAAAATAGAAATTGGAGTAATCCAAACATTTTTTTGGTGCTGAATTCTTTACAAAAGTTCCTTAATAATCATTGAGCAAGAACAGCAGATTTACTGGAGAAGGATGCAGTTAACATTTTAAAGGCTCTTCTCTCAAGTTTATGTATCTGAAATTAATCAGGTTGAGTTTTGTTTGGCAATCATAAAGAACTTTCATAACTAGCTTGAACAGAAGATTGTCATTCTGTTATGATTTAAAGAATAATGCTGATTATGGAATGGCTGATAAAGATGAAATTTATTTTTGTAGGACCTCTAATTTAATGCTTACATTCAAAAACATTGTCTTTCCTACACCAGGATAGTCAGCTTAAGGGATTAACTCCCTAGGACACTCCCACCATTTATGTGAACATATTTCTTACCAATTCTGGGCTAAGGTTGGTGCTAGAAGCAGCAGATGTGAATTAAACAGAAGGTAAAACCCCCTCTGTATTCTTACACAGTATAGCAAAGGGCAGTGCATGCCTGTATTGGCAGAATTCACAATAAAAACCCCAATGCTTTTGTAAATTCCTTGAAGCTGCAACATTGTCTATGGACACTTTGAACATTAGCAAGAGTATGACTGCAAGCATCTAGTTTGCCTAGTTAGTTGAACTGGCAAAAATGGAAAATATTCCTGCTACATCTATGAAGAGGGAGAAATGTGAGTGGAGGAGGGACTGTGCCACAGCTCAGAGAGAAGTTCTTGAGTGCGATGAAGACACTGAGCATGGGGCGCTGTGTGTGTTTGTGGTTGACTTAGTCATGAGTCTGCTTCGGTGTGACGGGAGATTATGTCTTCTCTGGGGTTAGAACAGTCTTCTCTGCTCTGGAACAGTCCAAAGAGATTTCAAATAGGTATTATTCTCTATGTAAATTAATAGCATTGTTTTCAAGATAATTTCAGATAATGTGCTAATGTGTGCAGTTGCTACCTTCCAATCTTCAGGTTACAGTTCTGATATTTTTGTGATATGCTTGGAGAATTAACTTGTTTGACTGGAACTGAAAGGTATTTGAAAAATTTGATGCTTGTCTCGCTTTCATTTACTTGATGAAAAGTCAGATGCCTTCCCAGAGTATTTACAAAGCAGCTGCAGGAGGATCTTTTTTATCCATCTCTGTCTCTGAAGCCCACAGAGAACCCTCCTAACTCTTGAAATTATGAAGCTAGGTATTAAAATCTATGAGTTATTGTTCTGGGATTTTTTTTTTTTTTTTTTTTTTTTGTAACTCATCCTTTGCAGCATAACTGCAGATTCTGTTCTTTCACATCTGGTATTTCAAGTCAGCTTTTAAATAATGAAGGTATTTTAAAACCAAAACTTGCCTAGACATTTGCAGGGTTCACTCAAACTTCTTCCACCTACAGTGCCTACAATATTTTGGAAGGCAACGTTAGCCTTACTTAGGAGGGTGCTCTGAAAAAGTGATTTCTTTTTTTTTGACAGTGAAATAGTGATTTGCCTTATACATGGTGATTGAATCAAAGTAGCCTTCAGGCACAGGTATGTTGGAGTAGGCAGCAGTTCCTGTGAAACTACGAGCCATAGCCAACCGATTGTCCACGTTTAACTTGCTGTAATTGGAGGAAATACGACAAATGCTGCTGATGAGCAAAATTAGCTCAGCCTTTCCTTTATATTTGCTGCATCTTTTCAACACAGAGGAAGTGGAGGAACACACAAAACAATGCTAGTGAACTTCTTTATTGTCTATCTTTGCTGGATGTAAAGAGCATGAAGAGAAAAAGTATGGTGTGAAAAGCAAACTGGAGGAGTATTGAAGGGAGGGCAGAAGGAGATGCAGAAAAACCCTGGGGTTTTCAGCCTAAAGAAGTTTTTTTGTTTTTGTGCTTTCAGTTTGTGAGCTACATGTGCACACAGACTGTATCCTGTTTGCTTGCAGTGACTGCCGGCAGTGTCACCAGGATGGGCACCTGGACCATGTAAGTGCAGATGCCCCTGCAGGGGAAGGTGGTTGTGCATTTTGTGGACTAGAGAAGGAGCAGTCTTGGTCTTTAGTTTCACATGCTGCCAGTTATCAAAGTACTTCAGTTGCTTATTGGCAGGCAAAGGACATATGTGACTTCGGAATACACTACAAAGAGTGAGATAAACTCAAATGCTGATGTATTCACGATACTTTTGAACTCTTGCTGAAAAATCTGTGAAATGTGTACTACCTCCAAATAAAATTTTAAAAAATCAAGTATCTTATATAAAAGTTTCTTTGCAAAAGCTGGTGTGGAACTTTTTTTTTTTTTTTTTTTTNNTTTTGGGAATTTTTTTTTTTTTTTTTTTTTTTTTTTTTTTTTTTCTCCTCTGTATGTTGAGCTGTTGGCTGCATTGCATCCCTGGCAAATGTTCTCTTATCCTCATGTTTCCTGCAGTCTGACTGAGGCAAAACTGCCTATTTTCTTATCTTCACAGCACAGTAGATACAGAATACTGACATTGTAGAATGTTTTTTTAAAATATTTTTTTTAGTGGACTGTGAAGGAAAAACACGGTGATAAATTTTTTGATAGTTTGATAAAACGTCTCTTTTTAGTGAAATGTTAGATTATTAAAGATTTGTATTTATCTTGAGAAAAACTTAGTGCCCTAGTATCTGTTGCTATTTCCTCAGAGCTATTTGAATTACTGATTTTAAAGTTGTATTGAAAATGCATGTGTATCTTATTCATGTAATGCTAAGTTGTGATGTGTTCCCTCAGGATACTTACCACCACCACTGGAGGGAGGGAAACCTTTCTTCAAGTGCTCGTTGCGAATTTTGCAAAAAAACCTGTGGGTCTTCTGAGGTGCTCTCTGGCATGAGATGTGAATGGTGTGGCATCCTGGTATGTATTTGTGGTAACCACATATATATGGGCACGTGCTTATTTGAACACTTGATATAAACATAATTTATTTGCACACTGTATAAATATGTTTTGTATACAGTTTGTAAAAACACTTAATCTATACAGTTATTTATTTGAATATAGGTATTTTTATGTGGTTTTTTTTAATCCTCCTTATAGTAATTTTAATGAACAGCTCTCAAAGTCACTGTGAAGCTTTCTGTAAATCCAATGGAATTTAACACGGCCTAATCATTATAGATCTGTGGTTAGAAGCCTGCAGGCACTTTCTGTGTTAAATCAGAATTTCTTTCAAATCATGAATTCTGCAAGGTTAAAGACTTACCATTCTAATATGTTTACTGTTATTTCAGTATAAAATGGGTCTTGGCCTGTGTGGTTAGGCTTTTTTTAAGCTGTCAATATCACTTTCTGTGTTTTTCCATTCACATGACGCATGTTTATTTCCCATGCAAGCTGATGGTACCCTTCAATAATAATTCTGGAAACCACAGCTTTTGACACACTGATAAACAGTGTGTAGTGCAGATAACAATTAGTCCATCCACTTAATGCCACCTTGTATTAAAATGTGGTGAAAGTGAAAGTAGCGCCAGGTGAGGTGGGAACTGGAAGTAAATGTAAGAAATCATTAATTTGCTACTTAAGGCTAGATGAGGTACTCCATGTAGTAATGATTTAAAATAAAACTCTAGAGGTTATTCAGTATTTCAGGTATGATTTCAATGATTTTTTTTTAATATTGTGGGGTTTGTATTTTAATCTGAGACATAATTTCTGAGGTGGGAGGGACTGTATTTGAAAACAGTCTAAGAAATGTAACATGCTGTGTGGCCATACATACAAAGGTATGTGTATTCAATAAAGGCAGAAGATTTGCAACAGTGTAAAGGCAGAAACTATCCAGTCACCTTTTGGAATAAAACTGAAAACAGTCTAACCTCAGAATCAGCAAGTGGGTACAGCTATATAAGAGGATACTGCTCTTTCCAAGCTGTTCAATATAACCTGAGCATCTTTTCCATTTCCCCCAGTAAATATCCACATAGAATGGATTATCAGAGTTTGAGACCAAAACTTTAAACTTCTCCATGTAGCTGTATAAAACCTTTTGGTTTTAATAGAACAGGTTCGTGATGCTTGAAAGTTTATTGACATATTAAGACTCCCCATTACTGGTAACAGTGGTAACTTTGTTGGGTTTTTTTTTTGTTTAATTTGTTTTTATTAAACAAACAAAAACATAGAGTGGCAGGTGGCCTATTCATTTAATGAAGGTGATTTACAAAAGGTCTATATAATCCCTAATCTGAATTATGCAATTTCAGTCATAGTTTGTTATGAATAAATTTACTTTCAATGTGTATCACAAGTTCTTAACTAATGCTGTTGTTTATAGGCTCATGCTGCTTGCTGTGTAATTGTCCCACCAGAATGTACCTTTGGAAGATTAAGGAATATGATTCTTCCTCCAAGTTGTGTTCAGTTGTTTTCTCGCAACTTCAGCAAATTGCATTGTTTTCGGATATCGGAAAATTTGCAAACAGAATCAGGTAAAAATTTCAAAGTTGAATGCAACTAGTTGATGAGTGTATTTAACCTAGAGTCATCATTCAATTAAGTATATTATTGCTAATGTTTATTGGCTTTTGTGGCAATACTGTAACTTCTTGTTATTTTTCTGGGAGAAGTTAGAGATTTTTTAATGGATGCAGTGCAAAATGCAGAAACTTCTGATACTGGTGCTGGGCAATTTGTGCACTATCCTTGAAACAAAGAAAGTGCAAACTTAAAATCAAAAAAAATTGTGGTGTTAGTATTATCATTGCTGGAAACACTTCTTATATCATGTGTACAGATACTTTTATTTGTCTCTTGGATTAAGCATGTGTCCTTTTTAAGGTTTCTGTGCTGAAACAATACCATATGTCTAGGCAGGGTAATGTTTTGCTGCCATCTAGAGTGAATGTTTGTTTAACAGCTCTTTAGGAACACGAATAAGCCTGATGTACATGGAAGTATTTTTTTCATTTGTATTTTGATTATTACACACCTGTAAAACCTTTCTTTTGGTGCTTGAATGGAATAGGAAAAGAAATAAAAGGTAGGCAAAATGCAGCTCATGAAAGTTAAATATTTGCAACTGCTCTTTTCTCAACCTGGCAAATTGCTCTTGAGCTTTCTGCTCTGAGCTCAGGTTTGGTTTTGGTGAGGAGAGCTGATGATCAGCTCTCCTCACCTGTGTTCTGTGTGCAGAAGCTGTAGCTGAAGCAGGACTCACGGTGAACTTTGTTTCAGATCTATTGTTAGGTATTTCACAAGTGTCCCAAAGGTTTAAGTGAAGATAAAGTTGATTATTATAACTAAGAGAAGTTAATCACAAACCTTTAAAATAGAGTCTTCTGTTTTACTTTCCTGGTGTTAACTAAGTTTCACTCCTCAACAGTGCTGTGTCCTTTTAGTATATCAGACTTAACTTTCACTTTTTTATTTTTAAATCATCTCTTAATAAAATTGAACATGGAGTGCCTTAAGTGAAAGAATCCAAGCTACACAATTTTAGCTACACCTTCTAGTCTCTTCCTTCAGTATTTTAAGAGATAGAAGAAATGGTTTTCTATTTCAGGACTTATGCTACATGCTAAGTGTGTTATTTCATGTTAAGCACAGTCGAGGTTTTCTAAAGTAAGAATGGCTTTTTTGCATTGCTTTAATGGAAGTGTTTGTCTGATCCTTTGAATTGAGAGAATGCAGCCATCAGCTTGGTCAGAGGCAGATACATAGGGATGGAGAAATATTCACTACTTAATTTGGACCATTTCCAGTGCTTTATTATGATATGAAGATGGGAAAAATCAAATTGAATAAAACTCACCTTGTTTGGAAAGCCAGAATGTATTTTTACAGTCCTTAACCTGCGTGTCACAGAGGTATGGTGTAGCAACACCCTGAAAAATCTCATTTCTAGCACAGGTTCTCTTTCTTGTGGCCTATGAGAATTTCTGCCCCTTGGGCTTAGCTCCCCATCATCCAATGGGCAGCAGCCTCCCAGAATGGAGGGGCTGCTGACACCCAGGGGTGCAGTGCCTGAGCCATGGGGATGCTCCCCTTTCCTCCTGCTGCAGATCTGTTGCATACCTGTGACCTTGGCAGCTGCCTCAGCAATTGACATCTTCCTTTTTTTTCACGGTCAGCAAGCCACAGCTGTGGCTCAGCACGAGCCATGGTGAGTAATATTTGTGGTGCAGGGATCCCTACACTCTGCATAAAGGGTTTTGTTCTGAGTTTCTGTATTTGACAGTGCTTTTTTGCATCTTGGTTTAGCACCTACATGCTGAATGTTCAGGTACTAGGCTGGGTCTCCACGTGACTCCTTTTACACCATCCACATCCTGTTGAGCCTTGCTTCAAGACCCGTTGCTGGATGTTTGCCATTCTCAGTCATCTGCTGAAAATCACCTGTCTGCAGGTCACCGCCAAAAGCACTGGATACCATTGCTATGTGCTATTTTTCTTTGCCCAAATTCTTCCTCAAAGGCAGAGCAAAGAATTGTCTTGAACTAGTTCTCACATGATCCTGTGTTGAGGAAGCTCAGTGCTCTAGCCTTTTAGTCCTTCTTCTTACTCAGGTTCACAGAAAAGACCTTCGTTTTCTTTCTTTCCCCACTGGCTCCTGGTATGTGCTGAAAGTTACCAAGATGTGGCATGAATCCAGCAGCTCCCTGATAGTCTCTTAGGATGTATTTGATGCTCCTCTGACAATGAAGCAGCTCGGGATGGCTGCCCCAGGCGTTGCTGCTGTTTTGCCAGGAATAAAACACAGACTCTGGGTGGCAGATCTTGCTAAAGATTGTGTGCATGTTAGGGATGTTTCAGGGGAGCAAGGAACTCCTTTGCTGAAAGATAATTAGCACTTCTGTGTGATGGCAGGCTCATTAAGAAGTCCTCCTGAGGTGGCATGCACAGAGGGTGCTCCTCTGTTGCCACAGCTGACAAAAGACATCACTCATAAGATTGTGAAAAGACCAGTCTGAGGTATAAAGAAGTGCTGGCAGTTGCCTGGATGAGTTGCCTGCTGCAGGCATAGCTTGTCCCAAGCTGGTGGTTGGGAAGTGCCAGATGACTTGTCCCAAGCAGTGAACGAGCACAGCCATCCATCATCGCTGACCTACTGAGGACCATTTGTCTGAAGCAGCTTTTGCCACGGTGTAAATGCTAAGCTTCATCACCAACATTCAGCAAACATCTCTGTCTTGGAAGAGACTTCTTTTAAACTCTTCAGCTACCAGGAGATGCAGTGGTAGAGCAGTGTGGAGTCCCTTCCTCCAAATGATTCCTATCGTAACAAATTTCAAAGAAGTCATTGAACTTCACTGGAATAGTTCCAAGATGCTGTTGGTGTAGATTTCCCTACTATTCATACTGAAGGAGAAAGTGTAATAAAATAATTCAGCCTCTTCTCATCTAAATTGAAAAAGAAGACGGTTGAGAGCAATCAGGAGCAGTAATTTCCCACTGTTATATCTGCTACTTCTTTTTTTTTTAACTTAATTTTATCTGGAATGAAATTGAAGAAGGCATTCAGCTTTCTCTTATTTTGAAGTGTTTCAAGACCATACTGTCTAAATTTCTCTCCAGTTTGAAACTTGATCTGTTTATCTGTCAACTATAACAGGGGAAATATCTCAACACTCTTTTTATATTTTAAAAGCCACAACTCAAAAGCATTATTGTTGGTCTTTCTTGTATACACTTGAAGCATTACCCAAATATTCAGTGAGTTCCCTCGTGTCAAGTTTAGGACTATTGCCTAGTACCCTTCTTGACATGCTATGATTCTGCTTCTTGGAAGGTTCTCCTGCTTTAGGATTTTGACTTCCCCAGTACCTCTTTTGCTCTGAAGATCTGCATTTACTTGTTTTATTTTATACTTTCTTGTTTTGTGCTGTTTTCTTGCTTTCTCCCTCAGCTGCAAGGCACAGTTTTTACAAAGGTGTTGCCTGGCCTATATCTTTTAGGGGCTTTTCCTGCATCCCAGTCAGGACTGTCTGGGATTTTCAGTGAGTGTGAGTGTGAATATCGTTATTTGATGAGCACTTGGATTGCACTCTACTGCTACCCTCAGAGAAGGAAAATTGATCACGTTTGGATTTGCACTGGTCTTGTATGGCCCTGAGTGTCAGGAATTAGAACGCAGTGAGGATGTTCTGCACAGAAGCAAATGCAAAATGTTCACAGCATTTATTTCAATCTTTTTTTAATATTTTATGCATGGTTTTACAGGGGTGCATTATCTTCTGACATGTTAGCTCCTAGCTTTAGTGAGAGTGATGAGCCTACTGTCAAAGTCCTCTTCTGGATAGCTGCAGTTTCTGTCTCTTTGGGTGTCAGTAACTTTGTTTTTCAGTTGTGTAAATTACTTTTTTAACACCATTATTTGTGACTGGAAGGCTGAATTGATTTGGTAATTTAAAATTTAATGGAAACATCCATACTTCGGTGACAGTCAAACATCATGGTTTCAGAAAAGAATGAAATGCAATAGTTGCAATATTAAAGCCAATAGTATAAGGATCTCATGTATGCCTTCACTGTAGCTACATGCAGATTTGTTTTTGTAATGCTGTTTTAATGCTATGAATTATTATCATAAAATAGGTAGAAAAAGAAAGTGTGCTTTTCTGACTGGTTCCTTTTGTGTTAGCTTGTTTGATGGAAACTGTTCTTAAATGACAAACACCTTCTCCCTTCCATTCAAATTAACAAAAATCCTTTCTTAAAATGTCTCTCTTTTACAGATGAAGATGATGATGTTGATGGGTCAACACAAGGATCAACAAAAGATATCCAAATTTCAACAGATTCCAGTAAGCACAATTTTAGTCAGGGATGAATAGTCACCCATTTCTTTATTCAGATAATAATCTTTATTCATATAATTTTAACTTGTATTTCCTTATGAAAAAATGTTAAATGGTTATTCTTCTAATGTTAGGTTTTAGTTTTAGGTCCAAAGTTTTGGTCCAACACTTTTATCCAGGACCTTACAAATATCTCCTTGGTATTTTCCACTGGTAGGTTGGCATAAGTGGCAATCTGTTCATTACCTTGGCAAACAGGTCATTTCTCACAATGTGGTAGTTGAAGAAAGAAAACATGGTGTTAATAATCCATAGATAAGCTACAGATTTAAAGGGCAGACAGCAGTGTTTTTTCAGAGCCTTTTGCTTCTATGCTTGCTGGATCCAAATGTTGCTGAGGTCATCAGGTGATTTTTTTTTTTTTTTTTTTTGCTTGGGCATGTTACAGTAAACAGGACTGAACTGGACTGGCTGGTTTTTACACAGTTAAATTTTTAAGCATGTGGAGTTTTCTGGGGTTGGTAACAACCAAATTCCTGCTTTTTAGATGAGGTAGAACTGCAATTCAAGAGCTTCCCACCCTTATATCCATGTTAGTAGTTAGAACAACGTGGTATGTGCTGCCTAGTGGAGCTGCATGGATTGTTGTAAAAAAGGACATTTAAAATCAATAAATACTAATATTTTAATCCTGAAGTTCTTGCAAAATTAAGAGGCTAATTGTGCAAGTGCTATTTAGAATTTTCAAAAAATCAGCTCAATAAGTAGTTCAATCAGTCAAACAAGTAGTTATAGAAGAAATCTCAAGCATCCTCTTGTTTCACTTTCTTAGTTCCTGAGTGTCTTTAGGGTATGATCCACTGCCATACTTCCATATTATGGGAAAACACTCTAACTGCAGTTTGTCTAAACAATTTTGACTTTTTCCAGTGTATTAAGTGGCTTAAGTGGTTGAGTGTGAGGACTTCCACATTTCAACAATTAAGCCTCTTTCCCTTATGACTGTCAAAAAGAGCAAATTGTGTATCCAGATATTTCAGCTGGACTCATTGGAAGCATTAGCTTTAGTTTAGCCTTTAGTTTAGCCTTTAGTTTAGCTCAGCTTTAGTTTAGCCTTCCCAAAAGAAGAAAAAAGATATGAAAATTCAGGGCAGCATACAAACTTTAGTATGGTATTTGTTCAGATCATGTCTGGACTAGAGAAAGCAGCAGTAGATGGTATATTTTCAAGGGTCATGTAAAGTATCTTTGGTTGTGTTTTAAAAAGAACAGTGGCATAAAATATTGCTTTCTCGTAATGCATTTTCACAAAATTTTGGAGTGTAGAGTCCAGTCACTTTGCTGTGATTTAGAAAGCTCAGCTAAAACCACACTCACAAAAAGAGTCAGAAATAGCATTTACTGGTAAGGGCGCGGCCATGCAGTACCAACCAGCAACTTCTTTAAGCATGACCAGCTTCCTTTGTCTCCTTATCCTTCTGTTTTCCCATACTACTTCTTCCCCAAATGGCTTTGATTTCTTGCCTTGATTCCTCTCCTAAAGTTCCCCTAACAACACTTGTACCATCCCAGAATGCTTTTCACATGTATCTCATATATCCCTGCAAGCTGAGCGACCTCCTTGGTCAGTGAGGTGTCCTACAGAACTTCTCCTGTGGACTCCTCTGGTGTGTGCCACCCCCAGATGATGGGATTGATGACCCTGGGTCAGCTCAGGACATGGCTTCTCTGATAACCTACCTGATAAAGTGATTGAGGTTCACCTGCCAGCTGTTGTGTTGTTGTGCCTCTCTGTGTGTGGGGAGTCATAAGCTGCTGAACTTAACATGACAATGACACAGTTGTAGGGGGCTGTACCACTTTCACCTGTCTCGGGATAACACCATTTGTGTAACGTGGGTTGAGAAGGAGCTGCTCACTGCTTCTGTGTGTTGACTCAGTACATCTGCCATGTCTTTTGGGATGTTGCCATGCTTTCACTCAAGAGTGTCTGAACTCAATTACATTCCAGGATATTTAGCTTTTCTTAATTCCAGCTCCTTATGTTTTAGGGGTACATATTTCTAAAAACAATGAAAACAAGTCAGAACAAATTGAATAATATTGACGTGGAAAGACACACTTTTTCCATATGAGAGAAGCCAGTAGAAAAGGATACCATGTCTGTAGTTTAGTATTGGAAGAATATTTGAATTAGTAGTCTACATTCATTTTTGTTACTTTGCTCTTGTAGTGGGCTTGTTGAGTGAAATTAAAGTTAGAAGATCTAAGTCTTAATATTGGTAGTTTAAATGTGTTAAATGGACCACTGTATTTAGCCTACCAAGATACTGAAACCAAAAGCATAAAATTAACATAAAAACAACTGCACAGTTTCTGAGTTGATAGATTTAATAGACATACATGTGGGTTTGCAAAGGACTCTCTGCCCAGTGGGAGTCTCTCAGCACTCACTGACTGCACGTGAACTGTCTGATTCACCCTGCATCCATCTTCTGCAGGACAAAATTCAGCCATCAATGAAAACCCATTCTGGAGGAGGTGTTAGAGGAATCTGTCTACCAGAGAAATGGGAGCTTCAGTGCTGTCAGCAAACAGATGTTTCACAGCATGTCCTTCCACAGCCCCTGTTTTGCTTTGTTCAGGTTGCTGCTCATCTGCTGGTTTTGTATTAGATAGACCCAAGTCGTTGGCTTAGAGTTTGCTTATGTCTTGTCCCAAACCAGCTGACAGTGCAGAGGAGACCTCCACTGTAATTCTGCAAGCAGGAACAAACTGTTTTCCACAAGAAGCAAGGACAGCATATGGGCAGGGATTTTTCCCCTAAAGATACTTAAGAAAACTTTAAGCTTTCACAAAAAGGGCCATTGTGTTCTTCTGTAACTGCTTACAGATAACTGAACACGTCACATGTTCCTCAGCAGATGCTTGGAAAGGCTCTAAAAACTAAGAGAAGAAAGGTTAAGAGGTGGCTACCAGAATGGGAGGACAGGTGTTAACACAGATTTGTGCTTCAAAATTGTCTTGAAACTAGGGGAGTTTCAGCTGCTCAAGAAAACAAGTTCAGAGAAGGCACACACCTGCAAATGGCTCTCTTGGAAGAGAAGGAGCTAGGGTAAGAAAAGGAAGGAAAGAAAAGGAAGGGAAGGAAGAGTGAGAGGAAGGAATCTGGGATTCTGAAAGGCTCTCTTCAAGGGCAGTAAAAGAAAAAATACATAATTCTTACAAACATAAATGCCATCATGTAGGTTATGAATCCTAATACTGAAATAAACCAAAATTTGATAGTCCCCACTCAAAGAAGTAGCAGCAGAGAAGAAAAAGAGCGTAAAGCATGTAAATAACACAGGTTGTTTCAGGAAGAGTGGTTCTTGGTAAGCTGTGTTGCTAGAATTTAGTCTTTTAAGAGTAATTACAAATACACTCAGTATGGGCCTTTAGCTTTCTTAAGTGACAAAATGATTCAGGACCACATAATTTTCCTGTCTCAGTCACAAGCCACATGTAAGTCTTTTCAGAAGCCATGTCCTGTCTGTGGGGATTTGGAAGTCAAAGGGAACATGAACTTTGGATTTATCCAATGCTGTTTTGTCCTTTTCCCAGGAAAACTTCGTATGTTAACCTCTGAAATCAAATTCCACACTTTGGTAAATTATGCCTGGAGTTAACCTTTTGTAGTTACTTTTCTCTTGGAAAGGGTAAGCATGAATAACAGGTTATTTTCAGCTCAGTATCCCATGGTAAGAAAAAAAATTATGTGTTTTTCAGGAGAAAGTCCTGATACTGTGTACTCTGATCCAACAGGAAAAGATTAAAGACATTTAGAAGTGAGGTGCCAGTATTACAAAACAGGCAGTTACTCCTTTAAATACCACAATTTGATAAATGCATCTGTTTGATATTGGCAAGTGGTTCTATTTATTTATTTATTTATTTATTTATTTTTATACATATATAAATATACACTAAGTAGGTGTATGTAGACTTCACTTCGGTCGCTGGATCATTTTCTAATATTTAAAAATTGGAACAGGTGGAAGGAAGAGTTTTACCTAATTTCAGAAGCAGTTATCCTTGAGCTTCTTTCCAAGGCTAGTTAGACAAATCAGACTGGCATAAGACACCCCTTAACTTATATGTGTTGGATATGCTCTTGACTCAGTGGAGAAATGTATTTCTGGATGACTAATTGCAGTATGTAGCTGTTTTATTCTTCTGTTAAGCTCATGTGCAAGCAAGCCATTTTTTGCTGGGTTGCAGTAAAAGTGTCCCCTGTGAGAAGGACAGAGACAAAATCAAGTGTGATTTTTCAGTGATAAAGTTGAGGAGGTTTTTTGTGTGATGGTTACCAGATTAGCAGCATTATGTTTACTTATCTAACAAATATGCTTGAGCTTAGGACATCGCTACTGGTCCGTAGATCTAAACTTGTTCTTGTAAACCAGTTTATTTTGAGAGTCAATCCAACTGTTCTTTGACTGTTCTTAAGACATGGAGAGCTCATAAAATATTCTCCAGTTACGCTTGCTAGGGATTCTCTTAGGCCAGCTGGTATCTCATAAGAGGAGACTGCAAAGGCACAGCAAATGAAAACAAGTACTAGAACTTGGATGAATGTTTTTATTCTCAGATGGTTGTCTGCTTTCTGGATTGCTAGAGAAAACAGCACCAATTTTGATAGTGTTATGATAGTTCATACTCAGAACATCAGCTGGGCTGTCAGAAACCAGTGTTCACTTGTTTTCTCAAGTTGTGTTAGCTCTAAAGAAGGTCACCCAGGACACGGTGCGTCTTTTGGTTAACATTTGTCTATGCTGTGGTTACCATGGAGATCACTCTGACAGAAATCTATGTCTAAAAGAATTCCACTCATTCTGGCATAGATCCAGCAGAATTTAAAGGAGTAAGTCACTTTCTGATGTGTGCTATGGCCTCAATGCAATGGTTGTTGGGTTTCAAGGGTACTTCTGAAGTAAGAGTTGATGATTTGTATCTTCCTTATAGTGTGACTAAAAAGAAATTGACAACAGTGATAATTGGAAAACTGAAAATCCACAGTGATATCAACATAACATAACATAATTTTCATATCAACAAAAAGAATTGAAAAGTCACAATGTGTCATACCAGGTTGGGTGTGGCTCTGAGCAACCTGATCTACTGAAAGATGTCCCTGTCAGGATTCTTGTACTCCATGACTCTTGAAGGCCACTTACAACCCAAACTATTTTATAAGTCTGTGATTGTATTTGTTCTGTTTCTGTCCGTTTTTCTTTGTGCATCATGTGTTATACAGGCTTCTCCCCAAAGAGTCACACGTGGCTGAGGTTGGAGGCAGCATGGAGGTTATCTAAGACGGCCTCCTGCTCAAGCAAGGTCACTCAGAGCTTGTCATGTTCAGTAAGGTTTTGAATGTCATAATAGAATCATAGAATGGTTTGAGTTAGAAGGGACTTCAAAGATCATCTAGCCCCAACCCCCCTGACATGGGTAGGGACACCTGCCACTAGACCAGTCAACATAGCCAGTTTTGTCCCAGGAGGGACTAGGACAACTTTGCTGGATGGGAGGCTATACTGGGGACTGCTTTGCTGTGCAATGAGGTCTTCATGTTATGTCATGAGAATGTACGTGCACACACATTGTGCCATTACCACTGGAATTGATAATGAGGAAATATTCTTAAGAAGAGGACAAGTCTACATTAAAAAAGAAGTCCAAGCATAGCTGTCACATTTCAGAATAAGGAGAAACAAAGATCATGAGAATTAAGGTATCATGATTTTTCTTTGAGAGTTAAAATCTCATTTTTAAAAGACTGCTTTCACACGTAAGTGATAATCCTTTAGTTAATCCTTTAGTTCTGTGGTGTCTGTTTTTGATTGAAGTTGGAGAACATATACTGAAGCGGAAATAAGTGGATTAGTTTCAGGTGGTTCAAGAAAGCTAGCACTGAAGTGTCCTTGCTAAGTAGTTATACACTGCAGCCTTTCCTCATAATCTGCCACTGCAGCATTGAGGTACCCAGTGATGCACATTTCTGCCTAGATTCTTGCTTGCTTTTTATCAGTCATCAGTTAGAGGTGGTTTGGTGGTTTTCTTCCTCCAGTTCCAGTTCTCCTTTTTAATCCTTCTATGGTAAATGGCAATTTGCTAGTGTGCTTCATTGAACCTAAAAGCTGATATTATTTGAGAGCAAAAGGCTCTTTGTATTTTATTCTGTACTACAAAGTACTTCCAAGCTGTAAGGGACGCATGGAAGTAGGCTCCAGCATGTCTCCTTTATAATATACATTAACAGGCTGCATGATTAACCAGTTGTGTGAGCATTACAGCTGGTATATGTGGCTTTCACTCAATATTTCTAACATTCCAAGAATTGCAAGTGGTAGCTTCTGGTGATTGTACTACTTGATGATGAATGCAGGTGTACAGATTTATTGTGAGATCAGACTGTAACACTGTGCTGTACAAGGGGTGACTTCTGTTAATCGTTCAGTCCAATACTGCAATAAAAAGGACATATTCTGTCAGTGACAAATAGTTATGTCTGCTGTAAAGCATCACCTCTGGGGAGTACCTACAAGAACCTGCAAAACTTAGCAGCTATTCAGGTGTCTTCATAAAGATGTGATCAGGAGAGGACACAAGGTCTGTCTTAATGAAATCTCCTTTCTGGTCTGGATTGATTAACTTGGTTTGCTTTCCAGGGGCAGTAAGGATGCATGTAATGCATTGGTAATATTAATTTGTTCCTAAAACATCTCAAAACCTGCCTGTTCTGTGAGAATTTAATTGCATTTGCTGTTACTCTTAAAAACGTTGCTTAAGAGAGAGACTTTGTCATACAGCAGCCTGTAGCTGAGTCATAACCCATCTTTGTGAAAGGTGAACCTGAAAGCCTTCACTCTTCACCCTTTCACAGATGTCTCTGCAACAATCTGCACTCAACAGTTTGAGCATGGACTTAATAAGGTTTTAGTGAAGTGAAGCACAGGAAAAGGCTGAAGGTCTTTATTTGCTGTACCTTCTTTCTTCCAGTTTTTCTGTTGTCCCTGTATTTTCTTCCCATTGCCTGTACACTTAACCAGCTATTTTAAGGACTTTCTTTGGAAGCACCTGCTCAGAACTGGCAGTGCTTTGGGAGGTATTCTGAAGGGAGTGGCACTTTGTCTTGGTCTTTAAGTAGTTCAACTTGTCAGTGCAGTCTTGAATGCTGAGGATGAAGATGTGATAACTTAGACAGTCTGGTTGTAACAGGTATATCAAAAGCCAGGATAAAACTGTGCTTACTCATCCCTCTTTCCTCTCTGAATGTATCCCTGTTTTAAACAAACAGTAACAAAACAAAAGTTAAAAATACTCAGCCTCAAAGCTTGTCCTATGACAAAGAATGTTCCCACAAACATTTCAGTGGGTTAAAAGCACAGGTTTTCTTCTGATTCAAGGTGTGTGTTAATGAAATACAATTGTTTCCACTCAGGTAAACAAACACTAAAGATATTTGATGGGAATGACGCAGTGAAACGCAATCAATTTCGACTGATTTCAGTTCCAAGGATTGCAAAAAATGAAGAAGTTGTGGTAAGATACCCAGTGAGGGTCAGTTTTCCAGTGTGATACATGTAATTTCATAACAAGAGTAAAAAGCTAAGTTTTAGAAACGTAACTCAACAACAACAACAAAAATCTGTGAATAGGCAATAATACTGCAACATAATTTGGCTTCTTCAGGTAGTGCTCTTATTTTAGATTATCTGAGGAGATGGTGGCTTACATATCTGTAGCACATGTAGCACAATGGTGACAACAGCATCACCTGTTAAGTTTCCTGTTGTTACTCTGAAGCCTGATTTTACTGATACGAGCAATACAGGATAACCAGCTCCTTAGATCTTGCTCCTTTTCTGCAGTAGAGACTTGGTATTTATCTTGGACAGCCATCAATATTGCACTTGAGTTAATCAGCTTTGAACACTAAGGCTTATTATAGTTACCTCCATCCCTTGACTGTGAAAATAATCAATTATTGATCACATGCTGCCCCCTCTCTAGCTTTTCCAGTGTTCCGTCTGGGATGGAGAAATTACTTCGTTCTAAATCAAGTGTGCTGTACAGATCTTTATTTACTGGTCTAGGCAGAGACCCCATGCTGTGAGAGATAAATCCCAGAGGGGGAATACCGTGGTTCACAATAAAATTGTGCATGGTGAGGACTCAGAGTCATACAGACTTGGCAAAGAAGTCTGAAGAATGTATTACATCAGTATTTTGACAATATAAAGCTAAAATTATTAGGATTTTTATCTTTATACTGTCCTCAAAATCAACAGGAGTTTTGCAAAGGGTTTGTAGTGTTCTGCACGTCAAAGATCTTTAAGAAAAACTGTGTACAGGACTGAAAACATTTAGGAGTGCTACTTGCCTTTCAAGCACATTTTACCAGGCTGGCACTTTAATACCAGAGAAGAGGAATACAAGTTCTTATAAGCAAGCTCTATTGACCACAGCATCCGTGTTAGCAGAGGTGCTGCAGGCATGGGCCCATTATGGATGTAAAATTTCAGTGTGCATCTTGCAAAGACAGCCCTTCCCTTGCCTCTTCACAGGTGTGTGGCTTCAGGGCAGCTTTGTGGCAGAGAAGCTCACTAATTTTTGGCATCTCTTAGTGCAAGAAGACTGAGTAGGCAGAGTTGTGTTCAATCAAGTGTAGTTTACCATTTTCCTTGTGGTCTAAATTTTACATGCATGAATGTAGATTTATTGGGCCTCGATTTTTACATTTGGTCTTAAAATGACTATTACTTGCCAAAAATACTGGGGATTGTGTTCAAATGCGTGAATATCTCAAGCTCTCTTTTTTCATGTTCACTGAAATTTGTTTTCAAAACTTCACTCTTGTTTTGATTTTTTTTGCCATTGCTATATATATATACTCCTCTGAGGTTAGAGCATGCATTGAAGGTTCATTTCGTAGATCAGGTATTTATATGGCTGCATAGGTATTAATGGTGTCTTTTCAAGTAAATGTTAATTTATCTTGCTGTGTTTTAGGAGGCTGCTTTGAGGGCGTACTACATAAATGATGACCAGCAGGAGTATGAGCTTCAGACCTTTACACAGCAGGTGCTGCTCTCTGATGATGTTATCAACAGGAATGATGCTGCAGAGGACAGCAACTTGGGCTCAGTATTCCGAGAATCTGTTCCTGAAGCTTGGATCATCAGAGCCAAACCAAAGGATGAAGAAGTGATCAGAATTTATCCTGCCTGGCTAAAGTGAGTATTTTCCCTTTTGATTACAAGTTATTTTGCTTGTCTACATTTGTCCTTTGTAGTCTAGCCCTGTTTGCTTCAGTTATTGAAGCTGCAGAACTCTAACAGAGAGTGCAGTTCCTTTCTCTGTTTCAGGATTCTTCTGTTCATTTTTCTGAATGGATAGTGTGCACAACATTCATTTCCATGCCTGGAAACCCTTGGGTTTCTTTACATGCGTGGAACATACAGTGCAACTTGTGCAGTTCTATTGTCATGTGTTTGGTTAGAAAGATGAAACTTTACATTAACTACATCTGTAAACAAATGATGACATACACATCAGGTGAAAAATTGGTGGATATTTTTGAAGAAATGTGAAGTAAGAAGAACTAAAGTGCAACTTCCCATGTGAGAAAAAAAAGAAAGAAAGAAAGAGAAAGAAAAAGAAAGAAAGAAAGAACTTTAAGTATATTTAGTAGTGGAAACAAAATGGTCTGGACCCCAAGTTTTATTAATGACTTGCAGATTATCTTTATGATTAGGAAGGAGCTAATCTTTAGTGCTACAATTGTAACTAGCAATTCCTTGAGATGAAAGTGTTTTCTTGTCTATGGTGCTGGTAGAACATCTGCCATGAGCCTCAGTGAGCAACTTTCTTCAACTAATGCAAATATGTTTGAGAAAATTCTATACTTAATTTAAAAAGGTACACAAAGCGTAGATACTAAAATAAGTATTTTTCTCCTTAGGGTGGGAATGGCATATGTTTCTCTGCGAGTAAATAAGGATAGCACTGTGCAGACTGTGATCAAAGAAGTGCTCCCATTACTTGGAAGGCAGGTAAGTGAAAGATCTTAAGCACATCCATCACCAGAGTGACCCTGAAAGTATATATTTTTCTCTTCAGAAAAACTACAATCCCTTAATTCGCACTTATGGTAAATGTTGTTAGCATTGGGTAGATGGTCTTTTGTGACCAGCATGCTGCTAAAAGCTTAACACAATCTTCAGGGTAGGTAGGCACTGCTGACTCATATTCAACTTGCCATTGACCCAATCTCTGAGATCTTATTCCAGAGGGTTGCTCTCCAGCTCTCATCCCCCAGTTTCTATTTTTCACCAGGATTACCCTGTCCCAGGCTTGAGAAGCTGGCAGTAGCTCTTGTTAAAAATTTCATATGGTTAGTGATTGCCCAGCTCTCTAGTACATCCACATTTCACCATAAAGGTCCCATACCTTTGAGGGTGTCAACAGTTCCTCCTAGCTTAGTATCATCAGGAAATTCACAGTGCATTTGATTTCTTCATCCAGACAATTTATAAAAACATTGAAGAGCACTGCAGAAATTTTCTTCCTATGGTGGCAAGCAGCATCCTTGTAGCCCCCAAAGGATGCAAGGAAGGACTCACGGTTGAAATGTCACCCATGTACTTTACTGTCTGGATTGCTTCCCACATCACTGGAAAATTCTAGATACGTCTTGTAATCTTGTAGATGCACATGCTTTCTTTGGAAGATAATCTCTTTTCAATCTCCCTGTCCTTCTTAGGGTTGGTGCCAAAACAGCATGACTTTCAGGAAACATGTTAGTAGATTTGCTAGCATGCCAAGCCACTGGCAGGCCCAGCCTCCCCAGTGTGGAGACACAAAGCTGTAGTGTGCACATTTTAGTCAGCACCTGGGGCTCGTGAGCACACCAGCAAATCAGCACAGTTCCACTGCTCTGGGGCACAGCCATACTCACAGAGGGTGACTGCTGCCCTTTGTGGTTATTTATGGGGTACATAAGAACATGCTTGTGACTAGCTCTCTGCAGTTATTGATAATCAGAGATCTGTCTAGGTACATCCAGCTGTGTAAAGCATGGAGCTTGTTTTGGCTGCAGGATACTTCCAGGATTTGTTGTCAGTCCATTTCCTCAAGTGCTGTGGACTTTTTAACAAAAATAGGGACAACTATGTCCAAAGTTTTGTCTCATCTGAGAAAATCAACTATCAAACAGTATAGGTGGAAATTCCGTTAGGGAAAGAGCTTCCCACCTCTGTATTTGGGCAGCTAGATGTATGCTGTACGAGACCTAATTGCTCAATTGCAATTTCTCCAGTAGTGGCAATTTTTAAATGCTCTACTTGTTTTTCTGTATAAACATGCACATACAAGAAATCTCTTTTTAATACCCAGAATTTGCCTGTGCTCAAAGTTGCTTTCATCAAATGTCAGGCAAAGCACATGTAGGGGATTTGAGGCTCTTAACACCCCCATTCATGACACATAAAGCGAGATCATTTGTCTCTTGAGTCTCAAGGCCAAAAGTTAAAACCCTTCCATGTGAATGTCCTTCAGTCATGTATGTTTGCAGGGTTTCAGTCATTGTCATAAACAGTACAGCTCTTGGCTGTGCCAGCTCTTCTGGTCCAGCTGCAAGGGATTTGAGTGGTCCCTGGCAAGAGCTTGGAGAAGAGACTGTGGCACATGTGAAGAAGGTTTTGTTCCATCAGTGTCTGGAGTGTCCCAGGAAGTGGGGAGTGGTCAGCCTGCTTTTGCCAAGCTGGTTCCTGGGCAATCTTCTCCAAGAGCAGGCTCATTCCCAGTCCCGCATGTTTTCTCTGGAAGGACACTCAGGAAATACTCCAGATGAGTTAGCTGCTAGCTGCTCATTGCTGAAGCAGGAATGGGATTAACCATGCTGTACAGGGGTCCCTTCACAATGTGGCTGTGAGAATGCCAATGTTTTTAGGAGCATGGGAACATGATGCCATGTGTGTGTAAAATGAAGGTTATTCCTGTCTTGGAAGGAGCTGGTTGGAGCAAGAACATCCTGGTTGATTTTAAAAAAATTTAATTTTTTCAAAATGTTTAGTTTTCTGTGCTATGTTATGCACTATGGACAGGATATAACACACAGTAATGTAACATCTGGCAAAATTATGTTGGTCAGAAGCTGTATTTACATGCTTTATCTTTTGGCAGACGGAGTGCCTCCAGAATTTCAAATTGGTGGAAGTGCTTATGGGCAGTAAGCAAGGTAAGTGAAGGAGCATTGGCCAAAGACAGATCTAATGTCTGTGGATTTTTTCCCCATCCTAACAGTCAGAGTTCATTTTCTACAATAAAAAACAAATGAAAATAAACTTCAGGGTGACATTGAAATACTTAGTCAGAAGTGATGCTGATTCTTTTCAGTCCTGTCTGTCCTGTGGGAATAAGGTTCCCCTTCATTATTACCTAAAAACTCATTTGTGGTTTCTGGTGGGTATTGACACTTTTGCCCTGTTTTGGAGAGCTATGTTTAACTGACATAATTTTCTTAATTGCAGTTATTTATTAAAGATTAATTCTAAAGTTCAAATGGCTTCTTTCAGACTCTTCTTTCCTCCTGACACAGCCCCTGAAGAAGAGTAAGTTTGAGTCCTAAGACAGTCTGAGAAATATGTTTGAGTGTTAGGAAGAACAGAAATCTGCAGTTCTAGCATTGCTCAAGTGTTTTGTGATCCTGCAGGAGCTGGGCTGGTGTTCTCCAAGCTGATGTCCCTTTGTGCTTCAGTATTTGTAAGGTTGCACGGAGAAATAAAGACCTTGAAGTAGTCTAATGCTCTGACCACAGCTGAATAAACATCTTGGTAGTTCAAATACTGTCTCCATGCTTTGCTTTATTTGCAAGCATTATTGGGAAGTTGTTTCATAAGGTTATTGTAGCTTTGTGAATGTCATAACCTTGGTTAGTTTCTGTTACTCTGTTTTAAAGCATCATTTGCAACCTTACATTCACTGGAAGTAGTTAGAATTGTTTTAAGATTTTGATAAAACACAGAAGGTGGGTTCTTTTTGTACTTGTTAGGAAATACAGTTTGAAAGTCTTCTGTCAAACTGTTAGATTATTACCAAAGTACTGTTTGTCTTTTGAGAGGTTCAGGCTGTTTCTGCCTTTTTCTCAAGGAGGGTGGTATTTAAGAACTCTGGAAAGAGTCAGACTGCTGCAAGCACCTATGTGTTTTTATTGTTGAATAAGACATAGCTCATGTCTGCATGATCGTTTATGAGAAAATTAGTTGTATGCAGAGCTTTACTTTTCCCCTAATTTTTCTTCTTTTTGTTTTTGTGTAATTGAGTCTGATAATAATTTACATGCTTTCTAAAATGATGAATGTTCTTGCCCTCTCCAGTTCAGCGCATGGTCTTGGACAATCAGGAACTGATTCTTAACAGACTCAAGGATATAAGAAAGGTAAATCTGAAAAAGAAACATGATTTTTTTGTATTTTAGCAAGACGAAGTTCCCTTTCTTACAGAAAAAGTGAGTCATTGGTTACCCCCTAAGCAGGTTCAAAGATAGAGAAGCTAAGTGCTTGAACTGAAGTTTGTTTCTGTTTCTGATATTCTCTAGGCATAGAGGACATGATTGCTAAGTGCAGAACTCTTTTGGATTTTGCCAAATGTAATATCATTTATTTTCCTTTATTTTGGTAGACTTCAATACGTCAGATGAATCAAACAAGATTTTACATTGTGGAAAACAGTAAATCCATTGTACAAGTAAATTTATTTGTTGGTGGCCTTCCACCTCAGCTTTCTCCTGAAGAATACACAAATATTCTCAAGGAAGAATTAGCTATCAAAAGTAAGTAAACAGGTATATTTTCAGACACACTAACTTGTACAGAACAAAATCTAGTAGCATCAGTAGCTCATTTTTCTTATAATTCTAACTTTTTCTGACCTGATTTTAAAAAATCATTCTGCCTTTCACTCTCACATGGGCTTTTAAAATAACTTTAACATGCACATAGTTGTGGGAAAGTTGTGACAGCTTGTTATTTACAGAATAATAGTTATAAGTGACTACACTTTTTTTTTTTTTTATATTTGTGTGAAAAGGCATCACTTTTTAGAAGAATTATACATACCTTAAACTATGTGCAGAATATCCCTTGCCTTTTTTAACCTCTGGCACTTTTTGTCTGGGCTGTTCTCCATGTTAGTCATGAGCTCTGTGCCCCATCATGGAGAAGTATGAGCAGTGTGTGCACACACATATGGACAAACACTCAAGGAAAAGAATTTATTTTTCTTTTTCAAAGAAGTGTAATTGAATTTTCATAATACTCCTTCAAACAATACTTTCTATAAACAGTGTCAGGAATGTGCCGTGCTTTTTGTTGCAGGAAACAAAGCATTTTTCCCAGTCTTTTATGTCACTTCAAGAGGAATTAAACTTGAAATGCCAGAAAGAATTCTTAGTCACCTTTTATGAAAATCAGTTTAGCTGTTCTTACTTGCAAAGTAAACATGAGAAGAAAAGTGTTAGCTGGAGGTTCTCCCTGTATTTGTATAACTTTTAATATTTATTTATATTATATTTATGTAACTTTTTAAAATACTTTAAATATTTACTCTGAATGTACCCAAGGTTTTATGTGTTTATGTTTTTACCCTTTGCAGCAAATGTAGTATCTGTGAGTCATGTTTATCAAGCACAAGGTAAGCATTAAAATTTTTAGTCCTGCAAACAATGTCTATGTTTAAAACTGCAGTCTAATACTAGAGGCTGGAAGCTCAGAGCATGTTAGTCTTACTGCATAAGCAAAAAGCCCTTCAGGTAAAATGCAACACATTGTATTTATGAAGAGCAATGGATTAGTGTTACCTTATCAAAAAAAGTTAAAAGGTTGACTGCATGCCTTGTGTACCACAAGGCGTTAATATTTCATCATAAAAATTAGTTTTGAAGTTGCACTTCAACTGAATAATCTAACACAACAGAAATGTTAAAAATCATTCAAGTGAATTTTTAGCCTCTTTGACTTTGAGAATACTAAAATTTGGTGCTGCTTTTGGACTCAGTGGGACTGTTTCATAGTCACTGTTTCCTAGCAGTGTTAAGAGCTAGAGTTCAATGGCTGAAAGTTGAAGAAAATAAATGCGTTCATCCTTTGAGCTGTTTCTTTGCTTTTGCTGTATGAATTTTATTTCAGTGAGGTCGGAGAAGCCATGAGGCTTCTGACAGCTGGAGCAGCAGTGGCTCTGGGCAGCTTTAGTGCAGTGGTCAGGTGGAGATCTGCATTTGGTAAAAATTTGAAGTGTGGAATTTTCACCTCTGTATGTTTAGGTGTCTATAGTTGAGATGTTTCACATCCTTTGACAGGCTTGACTTCCACATGTCTGCTAAATGGGTCTTTCTGGAGCATGGTTTTGAAGACTGATATGTGCTTCTTTTGGATTATTTGCTGTCTCCACACGACTGACTAATTGATACTGATTGGTTTTGATCTTTGCATAGGAAAAGCTGTAAAGCTTTCACATGTACCTTCCCCTTTTCATATTTGTCAGTGGCCAATACTTGGTTTTGTGATACTCGTCCCATGTCACAGCATCATTAAACCAAATTTACATGCATGTGCTTTTTAGATGTTTCTGCTTGTATGTGATTTTTATTGCCACTTTTTTCCTATGTTTGTATTTTTGTGGTTCACATAAGTTCCTAACTCTCCTGTTTTGTTGCAGCCAGGTTATGTTACCAGCCTACATCTTATATACTGTCCATTTTCCATTTTTGTCTTATCCTGCCCTGTTTTCCTCCTCACCAAGTGTCTTACTTTACATTAACTTCTCAGTATTTTGTCTTTTCTCTTTTGTCTTCCCTTCTTCCCCAACTTCTCCATTCAGAACCTAAGCCAACATAAAGATCTAAACTTGATTATCAGCCCAAATATTTGCTTGCAGTAATTCTTACTGAGATGTTGTTAATGAACAGAACTAATGGATTTTTAATAATTGCTTACAAAATGAAACCTGATACCTGTGTCACTTGTACATGATGAGAACATGTTAGTAATGATAAAGAGTATGCAAACAGGCCCGACCCCTGAAGCTCAAAGGAAATCTTTAAATATGCATTAGTTCTGTACTGCAGTTCTTGTCTTCAAGTTGCTTTGCTTTTACAAAAATCTGAGGATAGGAAGGAAGGTTTAAAAACATAACAACACAATTCAACTGATAACAAATGACTGGAGAAGAAGTTTTGCTGAATAATGTCCTCTGTAAACTGAGTAAACTTTTGCTATGAGACCTGTTTTCTAATAATAGAAAATATAAAAAGTAGTTCTGATGACTCTTTACAGGTGCTGTTGTACTCCAAATTTCATGTTTTTCTGAAGCTGAAAGAATATATATGCTAGTTAAAGATACTGTTGTCAATGACAAGCCTCTGAATGCTGTGGTGATTCCTGCAGTTATGGTAAGAGACAGGTTTGAATTTAAAAAATGTCTTTAAAAAAAAAAAAACTACTGCCTTAAAACTCTTTCTGCTAGAACTAAATGAAAATGTTTTATTCAAATAGGCCATACTATAAGTAGTGAGACAAAAAAAACAACCAACTTCAGACCCTGTACTTCATGTATATGATATATTCAGTGCGTTAAGTCATTTGTCCTGTTATTGTTCAATTGTCAATCTACAGCTGCCTAACTGTACAACTATAAAGACGAGGAAAACAATTTTTTTTCTATTTGTTTCTTTCAACGATCAAAACGTTAAGTGGGGTTTCAGTTTCAGCTGGTATGTCTTAAAATGCTTACAAAACTTTGGTATGGGAGCTAAATGTATTTCCTCATTATCTGTGAGGTAAAACACTTCTGCTTATTTTCACAGTGATATTATCTTCATTTCCCCCATTCTGTAGTAGAGTTTTTAGTTTGACCTTGTTTGCCCCTTGAGGCTCTCAGAAGAACATAGTCTTCTGAAAAACTTAGTGCGAGAGTCCTTTCACAAACTCAGGCCTGATACTGATTTATTCTTGTTGTTACTAATCACTTTCATGTGAATCAGTTTGGTTAATAATAGGTTTCATGTTACTAAAGTAGTCAGTGTGAGAAGAGGAAAATTATTAACTGAGTGAAGTGATATTTTTAACCAGGATTATGTAGGTTCTGTCCAAAAAAGTGTTGCCATGGTTACACAACACCTCAGCAGAAAGTATCTTGCAGTTACTATCTTTCTGGGACTGCATTATGGCAAGTGAAGTGTGAGTCCTGATTTGACTTCTTGGAACATCACAGGAGGTCAAAAAAATCACATTTTAGTGGGAATTGTGAAACAACTTTATATAGGAGGGTATCAAGTTCCATGGCTGTAGTTGCTTACTCGCATACCTGCTTTCACTGTTTAAAAATAAGTCCTACACTTGTCAAGACTTTCTGAAGGCAAACTTATGGTTTGAGTAGATACTAGTGGTAGTGCTCACATGCAACTGGCAAAATCAAAAATCTAAAAAACTGAGAACGTTGTTCTTATGCATTCTTACCTTTTGTGAAGTCCTTAGAAATCAAGGCCCCTTTGTCCAAACTAGGTTTCACAGTGCCTGTTGTGGAAATAGAAAGCAGGATTTTGGATTCTTGTTTTAAGTGTATTTTAGGCAAATGCATTATGAGCCTGTATGTGTTGTCTGCAGTGTGAAGTTGCACATACTCCACTCTGCTGATTACATATGTCTGTTTTTCTGACACTGGATATGTTTGAAGAGAACTTCTTGATGCCAGGAAAATGTGGACATTGCTATCTCTTATCTGATGTAAGATATTTTTTAGAAACTCCAGTTCAAGGGACTGCTAGGGACTAATTTCTAATACTTAAGCAGGAGAGAGGGGCTGTACACCATTACAAATACTGTGTTTCCATTTCAGCATGTTTTGTTTGTATTTGGTCATCTCACTGAAAGGAGCCAAGAGTTAATTTAAATGATACTTCAATTGTTTTCTGTTGATTGTCCACCCAGCTTATGCCATTCACTAATTACCCAGGGTAGACTAATGGTTGATCACCATCTTTACTTTGGGTAGCAATTGAACTAGATTATCTCCTGCAGTACTTTCCAACACAGACTCTCTTTTTAGCCTATGATAATATTAGTCTTTGTTTATACGTGTGTTGATTTAAATGCAGTACCAGGAAATACACAGGAACTGACACAATACTAAATTTACACCATGTTTGACATTTCTTTTGCCAGTGAAATACAGAGAAATTGGGAATGAAGGGCTAATGATTTTTCCAAATTGCCAGTTAAATTAAAGAAAAACCCAACCAATAAGAAAACAGGAAACCAAAATATCCCTTCTTAAAAATTGGTAAAAGCATGAAAGTATTGGTGGTTAGCAGGTTGCTAGTCTTATTTTGCTGAGGTGGAATTTGCTTACTCAGTGTCTGACATACCATCTAAGGAGGAGGCATGGTTCTACTCTGGCATGCTCAGGTCCACCCAAAGAAATTCACCCTCTTACTCCCATTACTGAGAAGTCTGAGCGCAGAATCAGTTTGCATAAGCTGCTTATTAGAAAGTCAAGCAGTTAGTGTTATCTGACGTGTTGATCTGTTCTGCTGTTTCAGGCCTTTAGGAATTTAATCAAACACTTTTTCATTTCACAATATTCAAATAAATGAAAATACTCCCTTCACTGGAGTGTGGAAAAAACCAAAAGTGCAGTATGTTATAAAGCTCTTTAGCTGCTGTGTGTAAGGAACTGTAAGGACAGTTTGGTTTCACTTTTTGGTATCAGTTCAAGGTGAAAGACATTGCAGGACTAAATCTTTCAATTCAGAACTAATTTAACAAAACTTGTTTTGCAGCACAGACAAGCAAGGAAGTCAGCAGACAGTTGTATGTAGCCAAAATCACCACCGTTTTTTGTGGCTTTATTACGAATGCCTTTTACTAGTGGAGTGCCCTCTGATATACTGCATTTAGATTTGTTAAGAGTAGCAGGAAAATATGAAGAAGGTTCCCAAATAGATAAAACTTTCCATTTCATTCATTCTACTAAATCCTCAGACAAATATTTACATCTTAAAAGCATCATAGTTAAATGAGCATTTTAGCCAAAACATGAGTGGTTGCTTTTCACCCTTCTGAAAGGGTTGTCCACTTTTTCATCCTTTGCTGGAAGGGTTTTCAAGGATAGGAATGGACTGCCCTGAGAAGCAGTGGGGTCACCAGTCCCTGGAGGTGTTCAAGAAGTGTCTGGACATGGCACTTAGTGCTGTGCTCTAGTCAACAAGTGTTATTCAGTCAGAGGTTGGAATTGGTTATGTTACAGGTATTTTTCCAACTTTTGTGGTTCTGTATTCTCCCATTTCTGCAATTTGCTAAAAAATAAAGAAAATGCTTGGAGGTTGACCCACCTGCTGCTCCAGTAGTGTTGTGACACCTTGCACATAATTTCTCATCAGATAATGACTCCTTTCTGGCCAGGGTAGAGAAAATTTTGTGCTTGGGGCATTGTGAGTCCTTGCACATGGAAGATGCTACTGGCAGCCATTTGCAAATGTTGAATTCTCCTTGTCAGAGATATCTGCAGTTCCTGGAGACAGCCCACTGCCCCGGAAGATGTGCTGTGGGTGTCACACTGGTAGGGCTGTGGCACAGAACGCCTTGTTCTGCTTTGTTGTGAGATGTGATTACACAGTACAGTCAATGGAGAGGGGATTAGCATGGATAATAAACATCTTGCCCCAGTTTAAAGCCGTGTTGTGCTACTCCTGACAAATTAAGCAATTCACAGTGACTATCAGAGTGTCTAAGTCACGCAGCCTCCTTCAGCTGTCTGCAAGAAAAGAGCAATAAATTCCTTCCTGAATGCCAGCCAGCACAAAACCCTTCTGCAGATTTCACTCCTCAGGCACAGCACTGAAGCCAGGGCTATAGGGGGAAGGGAGTCCTCGGGCTGTGAGTCACATACTCTCTTCTGCCCAGTAACAAACTCACTCCTCTGTCCCAGTGGGGCTTTATTAAGGAACTTCTAAAAATCGTGCAGCATTAGAGTGCTACCCTTGTGGCTGTCTGTAATTGTAACAAAGAGTGTGCTCTTGAGAAAGCACAGCACCCTGCTTTACTGTACAGACTGTCAAGAGTTTTTAATTCTTACCAAAAAAATAATTGCTTTCTTAGAAGCTGGCCTTTATCTGGGATTTAGCACTGTTTCTTACTCCTTTAAGCCTAATGAAGAGTTCTGATGGGAAGCAAGTTCATTGTAAGGACAAGCACTTTCTTGAAATAATCTTTTTATTCTGAATAGCTGCATCTAAATGGGTTTAGTTAGGAATTCACTAAACTAAACTATTCACTAAACTATTTAGTTAGGAATTCACTAATTGGAAGTTACCTTAACAAAGGTGGGTTTGAGTAGTAGGACTATTGACTTTACACTACATACAGATTTTTTTATTAGCTCCAGGCATTTGTTGTAGCTGCTTGTGAATCTCAGTAGCATTCAGGGTATATATTTAACTGGTTTGGGGGTTTTGAGGTACAGTATTGACATTTGGTAAGAAATACAGTTGGCAATTTACAGTAGAAACTGTAAATGCGTATTAGCAAGAATTTATGTTACTTGGTAAGATCTCAGACAGCTTTACAAAACACAGCTGTGCTTTTGAATGCCTTAGAGTGTACCATGTCTCAGAAATAGTTGTGATTCCCTTATGTTTCTTTTGAATTATTTCAGTTACTTGGTTTTAAACCCAGTGCATTAGAACGTGCCTCTAAAAGCAAGTAATATAAAACATGTGTTCAGCATGTCACTTCTGAATGTCCCAAACCAGTAATTTTAGAAACTGATTTCCTGAAGAAGAGAAGATAATCGAATGTTCTTGTTACATTTAAGTAAGGTATTTGTTAGAGTCCAGAGCTGGGCTGGTTTCTTTGCTCTTATTCTTCTTTGAAAAAGTTTTTGTTACTTGGAGCTGCAGAACTTCTTTTTTTTTTTTTTTTTCTATTATCCTGTTAACCCCCCCTTATTTAAACCCCACAAGTTTCCAGGCATTATACCAAGCCTGAGGTTTCCGGTTGCTCAGGGTATTGTTCAGAAAATCGAAATGGCTGGAGATAAATTTATGTATTGAAAAAGCTCTGAAGAGGAAGAAATGGGAAGTGGACAGAAGAGAGGGTAAGGCAGAGTAAAAGCTGGACAAGGAGTGCTGGAAGGGAACAATGTGCTCTGTTACCCCATGGGAGATGATGTTTCCTTTCAAAGCTGCTCTGCCTTCTGTTGCTCGTGGGATTTAACCCCATACAGCACTACAGGCTGGGCAGAGTGGCTGGAAAGCATCCCAGGGATGCTGGTGAACATCTGGCTGAACATGAGTCAGGAGTGTGCCCAGGTGGCCTTCTTGGTGCCCTGGCCTGTATCAGCAATAGTGTGGCCAGCAGGACAGGGCAGTGATTGTCCCCCTGTACCCAGCACTGGTGAGGCCACACCTTGAGTGCCGTGTCCAGTTCTTGGCCCCTCACTTTAAAAAGGACATTGGTGTGCTGGAGTGTGTCCAGAGAAGGGAACAAAGCTCATGAAAGGATCAGAAAACATGTCTTATGAGAACTAGCTGAGGGAGCTGGGCTTGTTTAGTCCCCAGAAGAGGAGGCTCAGGGCTGCCCCCACTGCTCTGTAAAACTCCCTGAAAGGCAGGTGTAGTGAGGTGGGGCTCAGTCTCTCCTGCCGTGCCTGCAGTGAGAGGACAAGAGCAAATGGCCTTAGTCTGACATGGGAGATTCAGGTTAGATATCAGGAAAAAAAAAAAAATCACTGTCAGGGTAGTCAGGCATTGGAAAAGGTTGTCCAGGGAGGTCACCATTCCTGCAAGTGTTTAAGAGGCATTTGGATCTGGTGCTGGTGACATGGTTGAGTGGTTTAGGTGTTACAATGGCAGTGCTGGGTGGGTGGCTGGACTTGGTGACCTTAAAGTTTTCTTCCAAGTTTGATGATTCAGTGATTATCAAAGGGCTATTCTGAGTGGGATATGGGAGATGATGGTGCAGGAACTGACAGAGTAACAAGATGGCCTTTGCTTGTGAAAACAGCAGATCTCTGCTTACTCTTCCATTAATGCTTGAATGGCTCAAGGGGACAAAATCCATTTGTCTCTTTGGGATGTGTGGATCCTTGAGCTGTTGACTTAATACCCAAGGAATCCCTTTTGTGACAGTGGCATGCATTATGTTCCATAGACTTCTTTTGCTGCCTACAAATATCCTTTCCATGTGCTTAACAGAAATTAATACATTACGCTTGTTATGTGTTGGGCATGCTTTGAGTAATTGCTTCCCCCTTTCCAATAAGACCTTAATGTAGAGGCCAAAGGTGTTTTGACTTCAGTTGTCAGTCTAGCATGAAGATGGTTCCTTTGGAGAGAGCTGTGTGCACAGCTTTCAGCCTCTTTATCATCAACCTACTTGTTTTGTCTGCAGTGGAACCTTTCCAGTAAAATAAAACATTGAAGTTCTTTCAGCTGTTTGTCCCCCAAAACAGCCCTTGTTTGGCTCATTTATTTTTCAAGAAAACAGATATATTTTCAAACTGAATGTCTTGTAGAATCTGAAAGATGAGTAAAGAAGAGGTCAGTGTGTGCCTCTTCACCAGCTTTTATACCTGTTCAGTGTTCCTCTTCTCAATGTGTTTTCTCTGTATCAAGAGACAAGTCACACTGGATGGCAGAGCACATTTCTCATGCAGACAAGTGTTAGAGGATAAGGATTTTTATATGTTTGTCAGCATCTTGACACATCTGGCAGGGTGTGACTTGCAGAGGATTAGCACCCAGCTCTGCTAAGAACAGAAAATTAGAAGAAATCTCTCAAGTACTGTGACCCAAACAATCATTTGGTTGTAAAGTGCCTAAATCAGGCCACAGGTCTGGGGTCTCTCAATGTCAGAATCTATTTTTCATCCCCACAAATATAACTCATAAATTTGACCCAACTTCTCTGTTGTTCGCCTCCGATCACAGTCTCTGGTGGTTGCTCACAGCCAGCAGCTGAAAGGCTCTCTGGGTGCTGCCTCCTCCCGTCTGTAGCTGTTGGTATCTCTCCACATGCTTGCACGCTGCAGTCATGCTGCTGCCTCACCGACCCCTGAATCATTCTTGTCTAAATTGACTTATATTTAGCACTGTTGTTCTGTTCCCTGAATCCATCCGGTCAGCTGCGTGACAAATTGCTGTTCCCTGAATGCTGTCCAATTTGTAAATAACAATTACCACAACTTAGGGACCATGGCAGACATTTCTGTTTAGAGGTGCAGTTGTTGAAATATCCAATGGACTTTTCTGGCACGTACCTGCACCCCAGCACCCTTGTGGCAGGATGGATGAAAGGTATGCTGGTGATTTCTAATCTTTCTAGAATTACTTGGAAATCATTTTACAGAACTATTTAGGACAGGCTGGGTGAACACTAGTCCCAAGGTGCATCTATTGGCTGTAAGTTTTCACCTCCAGTGAGGCTGCAAATATTGTTCCTATGCAGTCCATGGAGTGCCCCAGGAAATCACACCTCTGCCATGTCCAACGGCTTCCTTTGCAGTTTCTGAAGGCTTTGAGAGTCCTTTCAGCAGCGGCTTCAGTAGGTGATAAGATACTGGCACCCTGAGTAAATCCTCATGATGAAAAAGCTTAGCTTACATATTTTTAAAAGAAGCTTTCAGCTTCTAATTTCATAGGGAGAAGTACACCACTGTCTGCCCCAAACATCTTCATTTTCAAATGCTTTGTCCTTGTAAATTGACATGCATTCTAAGTCAACCACAAAACTAAAGAAAGATTTTTCAGTTGGCTTGGGGAGTTCTCGCTTTTCAAGGAAACTGTTTTAATTTTACAAAACTCTTATCCCTCACACTGTTTTTTGGCCAGACTGTTTACTGAAAATGCGTAGGAAGGGCTACTTAAAATGCCTTTAATATTTCTAATGTTCGGCCCAAATGTGTGCTTGGATTCAGTTAAGGAACCTTCAATTCCTAGGGAAGCAAGATCAGCAGCTAACCTGTCCATTGGCTGGACATTGAATCTTTATTTATAGAATCTGGATTTTTTTTAATAGGCATCAGGTAATATTTCTGAGACACAGTAGTAATTTTCCTGCCTTTTCATGGCATTGACTTGTCCTTTTCTTGTCTTCTTTCAGGCTTCCAAGATACCACAGAATTGTTGCCCACTTCTTGTATTTGTGAATCCAAAAAGTGGTGGTCTAAAAGGTCGGGATCTGCTGTACAGTTTTAGAAAGTTGTTGAACCCACATCAAGTCTTTGAACTTACCAATGGGGGCCCACTGCCTGGGTAAGTCATCATGTTTGTTGGGTTTTTTTTTAAATTTACATTGTTTTGTTATTTTTTAAAAGGGTAGACTAGATTCACTTATTTTGAAGATCTAAATTTCTTCTGTTCTGTGCCTGAAGATCAGGGCAGTGGATCATTTCCTTCTAACTGTTCTTACTGTGACAACATATTTAAACATATCTAAAGAAAAGAGAATAGAGTAGTTCCTGATGTATATACTTCTGTCAAATCTAGCAGAGTCTGGCCCTGGGCAAGTCATATGCACTTTACAGTAGCATGTGTTTAATAATTATTGAAAATAAATAAGATTTTATAATTGAATGGAGATGGAAAGAGAAATGTAACATTTCCTGATGAAAGTGGATTTTTGCTTTTATTTCTTCTGATGTTTCATGGGAACTACCAGGAAAGTGTAATAAAATTTTCTATTTCGACTCTTGAAACTTGGCCACAGTTGCAGAATTAACAGGGTTTGCCTGATCACAGCTGCAACATTTCTACAAGGAACAGAACATAATGTGCTTGTAGGAAGACAGGAACTGATGACTTGATTTAATGAACCCCACTTTGTTACAGCTTCATAAAACTGAAAGTGATGGCTGTAGCCTATTTCTCATTCTTTCAGTACTACTTGAATAAAAAACTTGTCATGGCAAGATCTTCAGAACAAAACCTTTGTGGGAAAAATGCAGCTTATGTAGGAGACAAGATAAACAAGCTACACAAACTAATTTTTCTGTCAGAACTATATAATTCTGTTTTCTTTTTAATGCACTTCAAGCTGCAACTTCAGTAACCAGTTCATTTTGTTTTGGCTTTGGAATCTTTCTGTAGCTTTATGACAAAATGCTCCCACTTGTTTATTGCTTCTTGTGCAATGGGAAATAACAATTCTTTTCCATGATATGTTAGTATGTAGGATGAAAAACTGCAAAAGGTAAGCATCACCAGGAAAACAGTACTATTAAGAAGAAAATGTACTGTGATACTTATGACTAAGTAAAAAAACACCACCCATAATCAAGATCTCCTCTAGGATCTAGAGAGTTACAGATGTTCATGTTGAAATTATGACTAGTTAGGTCTCTGTGCCCTTGAAAAAGGAAGTGATTAACCATTTAGTTCTATCTGTGAAGAATCTTAGAGGAATATGTTTTTTCCCTTTTTTTAAAATCATCTTTATCTACAACTACATATTTTTCTATTCACTTTGTTGAATTTGATCCAGAAACTGATAGTGAAGGGGCATGGGCAGAAATCCAATAATACTGTGTTATTTTAAATAGCCTATTGGGACTTTGCATTTCCTATATTCCATTGTAACTTTTCTTTTCCCCTGTGCTTTGCTTCACAATGGAGGTTTCACACGTTCTACAAAGTCCCCTCCTTTCGAGTGCTGGTGTGCGGAGGGGACGGCACCGTTGGCTGGGTCCTTGGTGCCCTCGAGGAGATCAGGCACAAGCTGGTGTGCTCAGAGCCCTCAGTTGCCATCTTACCTTTAGGAACAGGTGAGAATCACAGCAAGAACAGAAGCTGAGCGCAGAAGCCCTCTGGAAAGTTTTATCTTTATCAGTCCAACACAGGACTCAGTTTTGCAGCTGAGATGCCATGAGATTCAGTTCTGGCTGGTGCAGGAAAGTAAACCACAGTATCAGCTTTTCAAGAAATGTCAATTGTGCTTTCAGAGAAACAAGCAGCAGGAATGTTGATATGTGTGTTGGGTGAGTGGGCAGGAGTTGGGAGGGCAAAATATCCTCCTCCTGACAACCATAGGTGCACCAGCCATTGCTGTAAGACAGCATACTCAGTTGCTCCCTGGTGTCTCAACTCCACAACAGGTTTTTCTACCACTTTTTGTGGGAACACTTCAGCGTGTCTGTATGCAGTGGCAAGCACATGTGCAGACACAGCACAGCTTAGATTTTTTTTTTTTTTTTTTTTGTGCTAGTTAACTCTTCTTTCCAAACGAATGAATTCTGTGACTTGATTGGAGCACCTTAGTGCAGTGTGATTTGTAAAACAGCGCTGATGCACTGATTATAAAACACAGTCACACAGTTTTGGTGTTCTTCACTGTTGCCCAGGTAATGACTTGGGGAGAGTCTTGCGCTGGGGAGCTGGCTACAGTGGGGAGGATCCGTACTCCATTTTGGTTTCTGTGGATGAGGCAGATGATGTTCTTATGGATCGCTGGACTATCCTTTTGGATGCAGAAGAGCCAGCTGAAGGTGCAGAAAATGGCATTGCGGAACCTGAGCCTCCCAAGGTGAGCTGGGCACCATTTGGGTGTGATTCTTAGGAACTGTTGCTCTAGTGAAAATCACAAAGAGGATGGGTATTAACATTGTTTAATTTTTACTGCTCACTTGTCTTTGTGCTTGGGTCTTACTGGGCTATTTCCTGGTGAATACAGCACACATCTGGACCTAGTGTTTTGGTTCTGGCAGGACTAGTTGACTGCAGAGCAGCTTTTGTAGCTGTTTAGCAAAAAGCATCTGATAGAGGATTAATGAAAAGATTCACAGGGCGATGGCATTCCTATTTGCTTCAGCTTCAGCTGGAAAAAAAGTTTCTCAAATAAGAAAAGGCTTTGGAAGAAATGCCAAAACACTTGTAAAACTGGAGTGTCAACCAAAGAACACTCCCTTCCCCAAGAGGTACTCTCATCTTTTCTTTCACAGTTTAAGAAATTACTAGGAGTTGCTAGCATATACAGGAAGTAAATCCTTCCGTCATCTTACTGCTATTGTGTGTCTGTATATGTGCCATCTGTTATTTGCTTTTTTTTTTTTTTTTTTTGAGTGAAAGTCACTGTCACTTGGTTCATATGAGCTTGTTTCTGTTTAGGAAAATAAAAAATGTTGATTGTAGGTGGTGATTTTGGAGCTCTGTGTGAATCCTGGTTCTGTCTCTTTTCATATGAAAGGAAGAAATTGGACAAGGGGCTTGCAAAAAAAAGTAGGAAATTGTAACAATGGTAGCAATTGTCCAAGATTTTAGTCTGGTCACTGGAAAATCCTAGGCTTTATGAGTCAGTTGGAGGATTTAAGATGCTCAGGTTCCAGCTATTTTTCACTTGGTGGAGACAAGGGCTTTTTTCCCCATCTGCTTTTTAAAGCTGAAGGACGAGAGAGTAAGGCCTAGGATAAAAGAGTTATAGAATGAACTGGCATATAGAATGAACTGGCACAGATTTAATGGAAGAAATGGTTGAAATCTGTAGAAACTTGAGGTTGGCATATAGGGAGCTAGTTAAAATGCAGCTGAGTAGGTGAAGTCAAGTTGTTCATTCATCTGGTGTAAGCTGGTCACCTTCCAAAGTAAGTAAGAGTGTCTTCCCAATGATGTAATATAAATCCATGGCTGATGCCAAAAACAATAGTGGCATTAGTGTTCAGCAGCTTGTGAAGTTATTGCATAGAATTGCTTTGAGAGGTTGAGTTGGTTTTATTCTGCATTTGTTTTTATTTCTGCCTTATTATGCTTGTTACTTTTAATTAAAATACTGAATTTTGAAGTTTCTGATACTTTGGAAATAATGACTAAGCATGTCAACAGTTGTTCATGCAGCTTTATTTTTAGTGCAGTGTTTCTGGAAAATGTTTTCCAGAATCTGTCAAGATGCAAGTGACTTGGAAGAATCATCTGCAAAACTTGCTGTTGTTGAAAAACTTTGCAAGGTCTTCATTATTCATCTGTAAATGTAAGCAGGAAATTATACCTTTTTTTTTTTTCATTTTGGTCAGATTGTACAGATGAACAATTACTGTGGTCTTGGCATTGATGCAGAGTTGAGCTTGGACTTTCATCATGCTAGAGAAGAAGAACCAGGGAAATTTAATAGCAGGTAATCCTGGGGAAACTAGGTATGAAGGTCAATTCTGTGGTGATGCATTACTTCCAATTTACACTGCAAATGATAATCTTAAATGCTACAGGTATCCACTAATACTGCTTGTGACAGAGCTGGGACAAGGAGGAATTAAGCTAGCCAGGAAGTCATAGACACAAAATTCCTGTGTTTTGTTGGTTTGGGTATGGTTTGGGGTTTTTTTTTCCTCTACTGAGAGAGCACCAAAGCAGTTTTTGGAAGCCATATCATTGTTATTCAGTATTCTTAGTTGCCAGTAGCTGCACTGTTGAGTTTAGTGAAATTTTGAGATAGTGGAAATATCTTTTGCTCAAAGCCTTTAGCAAGAGTGAGGGCAGTGCTACTACATGAGCAATAAGCACTGTTCAGAAGTGTTCAGGACTTCTACTGTACCTTTTCTTGTTTTGCCTAGTGCTGTTGCAGCACCTGCATGCTGATACTAAGGATAAAAAACTCTCTGTATCTCAAATGAGAATGTTACTAAAAATGTGTTGACAGAGATCTTATCTTCCTCCTCTCTGGCATGCACATCAACCAGTATTGGGACTTTTTCCCATAATTGCTGAAATTGATGAGCAGAAGAAATCATGTCTGTGTAATTAATCAGTAATTCCTTATAGAAACTGGTTTTGTTTGCTTTCCTCTATGTTTGTGATTAAATGCCTTCTAAATTGTCTCTTGGTTGCCAGAGTTACAGCCAGTTACAACTATGCAGTGTTAAAACTGTAACTTTCAAAAATATTCTCTGACCAATTATGAGTGCAATGATGTGTAATCCAACCTATCTTGTAGTGTTCCGCCTGTCATTACAGGCATTGCTCATGGTGCTTTTCTTAAAAACTGACTAATACAGTTCTTGATGTAAATATAGGTGGCTCCTGGTACATAAGATGCTATTAGCCACTGGTTTGCATTTTCAATACACTTGACTGTGGGAGTCAAGGTAGTAAAACTACCTTGACTTGAGTTTACTACCTGACATAGATAGTAAAATCAGGCAATAAGTTTGTGTACGGCAGTATCTGTTCTGTACGTGGAACTTTTCTAGATGGACTTGTGTAGTTAATATAATGTACAAGTTATGTTCATTCTTTCTTCAAAATATACTACTCCTTGTTTGCAAAGCTGCAGCATTTCAAAATATGCATCTTCTTCTTATTGCCACTGCATTTAAGGGATATACTTTGATTGCTATTGCCCTGTGTGCTTTTCATCCCTGTCATCTTCATCTCAGTCATTTTCCAGTGTGCAGCCTCCATAGTGCAGTGGACAATGTCTTGGTATCATTCTTGCAGGGTGACTTGAAGCACTTGTGGAAAAAATAATTAATTTTTTTTTCTCCATATCTAAAGGACTATATACTCCTGAAAAGGAAACATGAAATAATGAATTGATACTGAGGTACATTTTGCAGAAGCCAAAAGCTTGTGCATGCTAACAGTGCTGACACATGATATTTACCTTTGCCTGCTCCAGTCCCTTAATAATCTTTGTTGTCCTTCACTTGACCCACTCCTGGAGCTCCATGTCTCTCTTGTACTGAGGAGCCCAAAACTGGACACAGACTGAAGATGTACTTCACCAGGGCTGAGCAGAGGGGTAGGATCACCTCCCTCGACCTGCAAGTGATGCTCTTCCTAATGCACCCAGGATCCGATTGGCTTCTTTGCCTCCAGGACACATGGACATGGACAGCTTGTGGTTCACCAGAAGCACCAGGTCCTTCTCCTCACAGCTGCCTTCCAGCAGATTGCCCCCAGCCTGTGCTGGTTCATGTGATTATTTTTCCTAGGTGCAGGACATTCTGTTGCATTTCAGATTGTTTCTCATCTGCCCATCTCTCCAGCCTGTCAAGGTCCCTCTGAACAGCTGCAGAGCTGTCTGGGGTATCAGCCAGTCCTCCCAACTTTGTGTTGTCAGTGAACTTGCTGAGGAGGCATCTGGCTCTTCATCCAAGTCATTCCCAGGGGATCCTGGAGCAGTCTTTAGGATTGCATACTACAGAAGAGATCACATATTACTTGTACCATCCAAAATGGCAGGAGATTGCCATGGCAAGCAGTTTCCTAAATGCAAGGTTTGGGAGAATATTTTGCGCAATTTAATGCAAGCTTAGACTTGTTTAACAGAGATATACAACTGTTCTTCAGTTAGGGCACTGTGAATTATTCTTTCAGTTTCTGATGGCTTCCTTCTTCATGCAACAAAAATTAATACTTCTTGGGGATATTTCAAGTGTTGTGTTTCCTACTGATATTCCAGTATTTTTCAGTTGTACCCAAATTAGACAAAAGCTGTCTTAGCATAGACACAATCTTGCATGGAGCAGAAGTGTATGTTGAATGTCATTACATGAGGTACCTTTAACTTGGTGCTATTTTAAACTGTTAGGACATAGGACTAAGCATTCCCAATGTAATAATTTAAGATGACTGAAAAACCTGAAGAGTCTCTCTCTGAAGATTTGGCTGTAACCTGCATTGGCTGTCTTCCCCGCTTTAATGTCTACGCTATTTAGACGTAATGCTAGAGAGATTTTGCAGAGTTGAATTCCAATGACACCCATGTACTAGTAGGGTAAAATAATGGAAATTTATGTTTTTTATTTTAAGGTTGCCCTGAAGGCCATGCATCCAAAGGTTTCCATTATAGAAGAAAATAGTCTGTGTGTTTAACTATCTTTTGTTTATGTTATTCTTAAAATATTTTGCCATTTCTAGGGATGCCATAAAAATCTTCATCTTTTTTATTCTAAAATTAGAGATGTTAGAGCTCTGTCACAAGTTGAGATTACTAAGCCTGTTTTAAGTTTCTGAAGCTAAGTATATTTCAAATTAATTAGGAATGTGTAAAGCAAAGATTTTCAAATGTTTTTTTGCCGTAAGTATTGTAGCATTGCTTGAGAAAACAATTTAAAATTGGTCATGATGACCTCTAAGTCTTAATCAAAAATGTAATCTTCCAGCCCAGGAGTTTACATTTCAAAGAAGCATTGTATTCAGGCAATGCTTGAAGGAGGGACAGTTTTTCTGTAATAAAATTTCACAATCTGCACATGCCTCAACAGCAGAATCATCCCTTAACTAAAGGTATGTAAGGTAGTAGTTCATGGTTTATGCTTTGTTTTTATGCAGTAAAGCTAGAAGAATTTGAAATTAGTTGTAATTGAAAAACTCTTTAAATATACCTGCTAGAGGACAATAGTGGTATACATACAGGGAAGAGTGCTTTGTCGGGTCTTACCTTTTAGTTACAAGATCCTTGTCTGCTCCAGGTTTCACAACAAGGGAGTTTACGTGAAAGTTGGACTGCAGAAGATAAGTCACACTAGAAACCTTCACAAGGACATAAAGCTGCAAGTGGACCAGCACGAGGTGGAGTTACCAAGTATAGAAGGACTCATCTTTATTAATATACCCAGGTAAAAAGAAGAGGAAGGATCCCTTGTGGGTGCATGCTGGACTGTGCTTGTAGAATTGCCGCTCGGTATTTGATCATCAAGTGCCAAATGGTTAGGTAACAGGATCAATGACAATCTGCACACACTTTCTGACATGCTGGGGACTGGGTACCTAAGCAGTTCCTGCAGTGAAGGCCAGGATTTCAGTGTCAAACACTGCCCAGGTCCTACAGGCAGTTGGTCAATATACATGGAGTGTGTGATGCTGCCTGGGTAGCCATGGAAGAGCACAGTTCAGATACCTTTATAGGTCTGTGAGTGCTTCCTTGACACCTGCAGGGAGCTAGAGTAACTGTTGTGTAATTCCACAGGAGATCTGGCTTCCTTAGATGTGATGTTGATAGAAGCAGGTTTTTTGTTTGCACAAAACCAGCAGGTAATTAGTCCTATCATACTATTATTATTTCAAGTACCATCTTGTCTTAAACAACCTGTATCTCTGTGTTTCAGTCTGAAAATGTTTTATTCAAATGCTCCTTTTTACATGTACACAAATACATTGCACATGAGAGCTGTGGAGAAGAAAAGATCCCAGTTAAGTGATGAGTAGTTCATGTGCCAGAACAGTAAGCAAGTGATTTGAGTGGGAAGGGTCAGTACTGCACAAAAAGCAGTATGGTTTAAATTGTCAGGAGCATTTCAGAGGACTGAAGTGCATGAATATCAGCTTAACTACAAGTGCTTTAGCCAGGTACAAGAATGAAATGTTGATAATTGTTTTAGCTTTAATTTCTCTTCAGTAACTTCCGTGAATGTTGTCAAGACCATTAAGAGCTATATTACGTTCTTTAGTCTTGAAAATTAAGGGTTAGTTTAGCTGTAACCTTTATTTCCCAGCAAACTAAAACTCCACAGAGTTACCTTCTTCCTATTTACACCTTTTGTTTCCAACTGAAACTATTTACTTTGCTCCTTTTACTACTAAAAGATCTGATAAAAATTCTTCCAGATTTTAGAAAAAGAGTTCCTGCTTTTAGAATGCAGAAAAACTGTTCCCTCCAGCTGGTGGGGAAGCACAGTGTGTAGCTTTTGAAGCCTGAGAAACCAGCCACCTTAGCAGGGCACCAGGGAGCATGCCTGGGGGCAGACCACAGGTGGTCACCGGTGTGCTCTCCACACAGCTGGGGCTCTGGGGCCGACCTCTGGGGGTCTGAAAGTGACAACCGCTTTGAGAAGCCACGCATCGATGACGGCCTGCTGGAAGTGGTTGGTGTGACTGGCGTTGTTCACATGGTGAGTTGGCATCCCAGGAAGCGCGGAAGAAACATGCATTTTATGGGACAGGCTTGTTTCCTTGACAAACAGTGCATTGCAAGTGCAGTTACGCCTGTTTGTTAAGTTTGGGTAAGAAGAAGTAATAGGAACTGAGAAGTAGTTAAAAATCCATGGGGAAATGCTTCATGACTTAGCTAGACTTTGAACCAAGTAGAGAAACATACATATGTGAATATATATATAGATATATAAAATGCAATATATATGTATATATAAAATACAAATATATGTATGTATTATGTAATGCACTAGCTTTCTCATAACAGGTATCATGGTGTCCAAATGGAATGGTTCATGGGATGAAAACAAGATTTTATTCTAATATTACAAAAACATGCACCCTTCACCTAGTGTATTTGAGAAAGTCTTGTTATACCTCATCACAGTCACAGTGGAGATTCCATCAAGACAGGTTGCTTTATCATTATCTGCCACAGGCTTTCCAACACATGTCACTGAGAATTTGATACTTGCTGCTCTTGATTTGATTGCTACATCAAGTAGGTGGTATGCTGTTCTGCAAAGAATAGTGTGACTCAACTTAGGCAATTATTTTTTTAATTCTTTCATGTATATTACATATTTTTACAATGGTTTGCTATTAGTAACACACTCCTGTGGGATGGTAGGTTATTTTTGTCTTCATATCTTACCACTATTTAAAGAAATCTGCTTCTGAAAAAGTATATGTAGTCAGGTAACTAGAGATAACTAATCCATAAAACTGCCAGAAATGGAAATGTGGGTGCTTAAATTTTGTGGAGCTCAATTTTTGGTGATGGTCAACTTTATTTTGTAATTTAGATCTTCTAAAATACACTAAAGAGTTGTTTTGGTAGAGATCCTTAAATCTTCTGTGAAAGTAGAAGCAGCTTTGGAGTATAAATTTTAACAAACCTGTGCTTTAGATTTGTGATATTAAGGTTTTTACTCCCACATTTGGAGTTGAGTTTGGAAGAACTCTCTCTGATTAATAAACTGCTTTTAGACTTTGGAATTTCACATGTGCTGAAGTCTGTGTGTATAATTAGGTGTTTTGTAGAAGTATTTACTGTGTTTCAGAGGGGGAAGCCAAAGCAAACAAGACCTTTGTGAGTGCATGCTGCTTGGCCAACCTTTGCATACAAACAGCTTTGCTTCGGAAATTGTTTTGCCTCCTGCAGCCTGCAGGGGAGTCCTCCTTCCTGGAGTAGCTGAAATAATGTTGGGGTAGTAAAGGCCATCCTAGTTTTGCCTAAGCAGTTTTTTAGCTGAAACTTAAAATGTCAGGTGAGAATAAAATAATATCCACCCAATTTAACTGCAGCTAGTATTTGTACTTCTTGTTAGTTGGGGTGATTGATATCCTGGCTTTTATTCCCTAACAGGGTCAAGTCCAAGGTGGTTTTCGATCAGGAATCCGCATAGCTCAAGGCTCGTATTTCCGTGTAACACTCCTAAAGCCAATTCCAGTTCAAGTTGATGGAGAGCCCTGGATTCAGGCCCCTGGCCAGATTATAATTTCTGCTGCAGGACCAAAGGTACTGGGTGTAGGTTTCTCTTAGCAATTTGACTTTGTTCGTGCACTGGATGTTACCGTATTATCTTTCTTATCTGTGTTCTCATGCTTAACCCCAAAGGAGCTGCTTAGCACTGTGTGGTAACTGAGACAGCAATTTCTAAAGAGGACAGTTTGAGGGCTCTCTCCAGTGGCTCAGATGAGGCTCATGTTTAAAAAATAGTCCCTGAGGTTTGGCCTAGTGATCCGATTTTTCCTCTGTATTGAGATCTGCAGGCAGTGTTGCTTTTCTTGAAGCAGGGCAGTGGTAGTAGTGCAGTGTGCGAGGTAGGAATCAGTCTACTGGAGAAGGCAAGGTCTGTCAGACAGTAGTAGCAAAGAAGGAAAATTAATAAAAGAGGAGCAAGGCCTGTGAAAAAGACTTGGGTAATCAGTGTCTGTTTTTTCTTGATTATCTCAATGTGTACATAAAACACAGCATCAGCTCCCTAAGAATTTAACTTCTCTATTGACTTTGAAATTGTGAAATAAACATTTTGCAGTAGGTGACTGCGGTACACACCAGTCTGCACATTTGCCTGCTACCTGAGGGATGCCTTTTCAACTCACAGACATATGCTGCTGTAGGCAAGCTCAAAGGATATGTAGCTGTACTGGGAGGGGTACCAGAACAATTGCCCTTGCTGAGGAGAAGTGAAAGAGAGGGCCATACCTCAAAGTTTCAGAATATGTTAAAACTTTGTTCTTTTCATGAGTAGAAGTGGAAGGGTAAAGGAAAGACAGAGAGAGAGAGCAAACCTAACTTGTCCTTCAGTAAGAAACATTTCTTCTTCTTCTACCAAGTTACTGACTAGTTATCTCTATTTATGGGTGTATATATATACATATGTGTGTACAGGAATATATATGCACACACATACATATACATAACGTGCATATGTTTATGTAAAAAAAGCAGTAAGTCCTATAGCTTTACAAGGATTGGTGCACCAGTTAGTTGTGTATTTATATGTTTTTCTGTTGCAGTTCAGCTTTTTACTTGGTTATTAGTTTGTTGCCTTAGATCAGCTAATTGATGACTACAGATATTTTAATACTCACCTTCTTTTAAATTTTTCAATTTTAGGTCCATATGTTGAAAAAATCCAAGCAGAAGCAGAAAAAAACTGGAAGCCTGAAAGAGATGAAAGTGGATAGCACGTCAGTCTCTGAAGGAGGACGCAAAGGGGAGACCTGTGTTCATACCTATGGTAGATACCACCCCGGTCCAGTAAAACCGAGTGCAGACAAGTCGTGAAGAGTGTTGCCTATGAGCGTGCCTTTCATTACATTTTGATAGTACTGGGTTCTTCTTTGTATTTCAAAGATAGTACCTCATTGTCACAAATAACTATTATGTACCACTTGTCTCATCTGAAATGTTTACTTGGGGTTGCTTTTCTGTAAGCTGTTTCCCAGCCAAACAGAGATTCCAAGATGCTGAGATTTCTGCATTTGCCTTCACAAAAAATCCTTCCCTCCTCCCAGTTCATTCTTAAAGAAAATAATTCCATAGATAATTTTTTTAATTGTTCTGTAACTGAAAATGTGTTCCTTTAATGCTCACAATAGCATCCTAACCAAAAAAAGGCAAAACCATGAGCTGCTGAGAGCTCCTTAGATCATCCAAATAGCACAGCTGAAACAGTACAAGTGTAAAGAGAAAACACAAAACACAGGAGAGATTATTTCTGTAAAAGGATCCCAGCACTGGGAAGAGAGAAAGTGCTAGAACAGTTGAGTCAAAATATTTCAGAGCATTTACTTCAACAGTATTTGGACAGCAATTTTGGACTGTAGAGCAATTTTTCAACTGTAGCTTAGTTTCTCATTATTCAGCCAAAGCCGGTTTTAAAAGGCATTTGAATTTCATCAGCCACAACTCTTAAAATAAAAAAGGAACAAGAATACCCAAGGCAATAGTATGTTATATCAATTCTTTTTTATCACTGAAACCATTAACTTTGACACCAGACTCTTTTGTCTTGACTTTACTTTTGTTGTTTCATTTTAATGAATCTTGTTGTTTCATTTTAGTGAATTTGTTATATAACAGCAAGCTCAAGAATCATCATTAATAAGGTTAAAAGAAGTACCACTTAGTGTTCAATTAAGTAAATTAGCACAGTCATATGTTAGAGCTGAACTGATATACAGCATAGCTTTACTGAGGAGCCTTAGCATCTAGGCTTCAAATAACTGGGAATGCAAGACTCGTCATGAAAATTCACTTACCTCATTAGGCTTCTTTGTGGGTATTACTAGGTGTGGGCCCAGGGACACAATGACTGTCTTTTCTCACTTGGATGAGTGTGTGCTCTTCAGAGGCTGTTTCTTCATCAGTTCCTGTGAGGCCACGTCTCTGTGTTTACCCATCTGCTGAAGCTGTGGTGATCCAGTACTTTTACAGCTTTGTGCTGGAGACTGGCGCTGGAGCAGCCACACACCTGCCATACACCATCCAGATGTGCTATCCATCTATAGGCTATCATCGTCTTGTTCTTCACTCACATCTCTGCTGTCTCATCTCACTGTGGTTCCCCAGGAACTGAACCTTTCCCTTTTGGTCAACATCATACACAAAGGGCTCTGTGAGCCACTTGTGGGCGGGGGATGGGGCCTGCAAGATTTTGCCACTTCCATGCATCTGCTGCTTGGAGCTGCTTAAGCCATGTTGGCTAGAGCCTGCTTAGCTATATGGTAGGCTTACTTGTTCTCTGTTGCACAGTAACAACTTGAGCGTTAGCCTTAGGAGCATTCCTGTTGCCAGTGTGTCTAGAAAAACATCTCTAGCTGCTTTGGGGGACTTAAGTATAACTCTGAAATATGCAAAAGCTGTTTTGTGATGGAGCCAGTTACATGCTGAGGCAGTTATTGCTGGGTCTCATTGATGAGTCTGTACTCCTAGCACTGTGACAGCTTCAGCAACAGCTGACCATTACATGTACTTTCTACTTTCTGGTCACAGTACAACGAGGGTATGAATTGTCATCTATAGCAACAGAATGATGCAGCTAAAGCTATAAAGAAAGACAAAAAAGCTATGGAAAAATGGCAGATGCCTGCAGCTTCTCCTTTCAATCTAGTGATTCCTGCTCAGTTTTCTGGTAGAGACGCAGTTGGAGGAATGATTTCTGTTTTCAGTGAAACCTTTTCTTAATTGTTTAAATTCTTAATTTAAATTTGGGGATGTTCTTCAGGTCCCACAGTGTGGACTATAACTTCACTTTCATTCAACATGAAAACTGGACTGATGCTATGAAGGAAATAGTTTGCATAGTACAGAGCTAAAAGCCTTGTCCAGATCATTAAACACAGGGCTGTCTTCTTTAGAACCTGGGCATGAGGGGTCAGCTGGACCTCTTCTGGCATCCTGGTACCAGCATTACAAGTAGGGAGGATCAAGTATGGTATTTCAGGATGTGCGCACTCTGAATGAAGCTCACAAATTAGAGAGGAAATCTGGAACAGGCTGCTGCTTCATAATAGTCTAGAAAGAGAGAGAAACTGCTTTGTATCTTTGGGACCGCAGAAAGAATGCATGGTCTACTTTCCTGTTGCTGACTCAGTAATGGAAGCTGGGCTTATTGTTACAGAAAACATGCATACATTTTAAGATTTCTGGTACTGACTGTCTTCAGCAGCCCAAATAAATAAGGCTGTCTTACTGTTTTTCCAGGCATATATAATCCTGCATTGTGTAGCTGACAGTGTTTCAAGTTCTTGGCTTGTTAAGGACCTGTCTGTCTCTCCTTTTGCTCTGTATCTGTTATCTGAAATAACATGAAACTCACAGGTCACAATATTTTAATCAGAGGGCCCATTGCTTTGGCATATTCTTTGTGGAGATTTCCCATCCGTGAAACTCTGTAAAAGCCTGTTTTGGGATAGCATCATGGTAGCAAGGTGACTCTGAAGTATGAGTGTAATCTCTTCCTAGCTTCCAGAGGGCATCCTGGTAGAGGACAAGAAGGCTTTGAGTTTTGTTCCCTTTTTTTTTTCCCCCGGAAACCAACTGCCATGTATTTGAGCAGATGAGTGCCACACTGGAATGAAAACATAGCTTAAGAAAAACACTTAGTATATAAGGGCTCTGTGCATCAAAAGATGAGGCTTAATGTGTTTTGATCACAAAACCAGATTCATTTGAGGTAGGAAATTCCCTGTAAAGCTCTTAAAAGGAGAAACTCACTCATTAACCCCTCTATTAAGATATTCTAGTTTCAGGTTCTGTAAAGGCCATTTTATCAAGACTAGATGTATGTGTGTGTATATGTTTTTTCTCACATTTTCATTGCATATGGTGTCTGAGAAGGCCTAATATTTTCTTCCATGGTATGCAAGGCCTGCATGAAGGGAGGGGGTAACTCTTTGCAGTTAATATGAAACATTTAGACTTAGCCTTTCCACTGAACATAACAATGCAGTATCATTTCTGTGACAGTGGGCAGATATATTGTTCTCCATACTGATTGTTTGAGTAGTATTGTGTGAGAGCCTAGTGGTCACATGGCCAAGTACTTAAAATAATGCAGCAACAAAAGTATTGGGGAAGAGGCTCAGTTCTGTCAAGATAGGTGTTAAGTAACATCAGGGACACAGGACCAGGAGCGGTAACTGTGGACAGTGGGAAGATGCAGGCTCTTTGCTATCCTGAGCACACTCCTTCATCCTCTCTCCCCTGCCTTTTTACCTTGCCTATAAACCATGGCAGGCACAAACAGCACAACTAGCATCTCTCCTGCTGATGTACACTCTCCTGACCTTTCACTAGTGTCCTACTTAGGCATTGGCAGCATTGGGGAGAGAAAGGTCCTGAAAACCCTGGTTCCTTTCAGATACCACAGTGTTGCAGATTATTGCAGATGGTCAGTTGGTTAAAATCTATTTTGATGGATAAACACATTACCTCTGCCTTGAATTAGTAGAACTAAAACTCAAAAGCTCATCCCTGAGATACGGGTGCTACTTCAGAAAATTTGCTGCTTTTTTCCCCATGGCTTTTACCCTTGATTTGTACAGTTTAAATTCCTGGTGTTTTCACTGCATTGAGTTTTAGATGAAAGCGTTATTTTGCCAAAAATCTTTTGTTTATATATGTGTACATACATGTGTGTACATACATATGCACACACCCTTTAAGAATACGCCTTATTGTATTTCCTTCCACAGTGCCTAATTATACAGCTTTTGCCCTGTTACAGCATTCTGATAGCACTCACTTCTGGATCTTCCTTTCACCGGTTTTGGACATGAGACAGGACTTGTACTTTCCAACAAGATATGATGGCAATATCGTGAAAGCACAACTGCATTTAGAGTACAGTTTCTGCATGTATGCAGTTTGAGCTCTGCTTGCTCTTTCTAGATTTTAGTCAAGTATCTGTGTGTCTAAAACCAGTGGCAATGGCTATTGTAGCATTTTAAAAAACTAGGAAGAAACTGTCACTGCAAGACTTACCTAAGGAACAAAACTAAATGAACTGTTATAGACAATTGTTGTTAATCTTCACAGTTACCCTCTTACAAATATTGTACTGATTTAATGTCTTTAGAGCAAATATTGTACTTGATCTGAATGTCAGCTGTTTCGAATTGCTCAGTATTTATGCGTGCATGTGATTCTGTAGCAGTCTGTTGGCATATAAGCGTCATTATCAAATGAAACCTCTTTTTGTGGGAGGAGAAGGTAAGAGGAGCTGTTGTGACACTTAGAAAGGGCTTACGTTGAAGACACAACAGATTTGGTTGCATATGTATTTAATAATGTGCCATCTGTAGGTATGCTCTGTCTTGCACGGTCTCCAATCCATATTCCAGCACCAGTACAGGGGGCTCATTGGAGTTGTGCACTGGCAGTAGATACTTTTTCAGCCTGCACCCCGTAAGTCTTCCTTACCACCTTCAAAGTGACTGTACATCTTCCTATTTCTTCCAGGCTCCCCTCCTGCCCTTTGGGCCTAACTCTGTACCAAAACTGGTAATGAAGGTATGAGCATGTGCTGGTGAATGTGTGTGGAGAGTGGGGGAATGGAGTTCCTGCTCTGAATGCTGCTCTGTCAGTTTGGCTTAGACTATTCTTTAATTTCTACTTCAGCTTCTACTTTAGCCATCTAACAGCTCTGCAGCAAAGATTTGGCAACTACTGAATTGCCTTGGATTCACCGGTGACAACGTTGCCTCATTTTCAGGCTTTGATCTTATATACGTCAGAATATGTATAACTGCATTATACTTTTTGCACTTAACAGAAAATGCAGGTTAGACAGGCTTAGGGTGTGGCAAAATTGCAATGTTTGTACTTTTTTTGTAAATATGGGGATGATTCTACAGATACAAAGATGCACTTTCAGATAACAATGAGAACAAGTTTGTAGAATACAGTTGTTTAGGAGTTTCTCTGGCTGCAGTGTTCCTGATCCCCATCCATGTCTAACACTGTGTTCTCCTTGAAAGCCTGCTTGGGGATAGAGATGGCTTCTCACATTGCAGAATGTATTTATAGCTGACTGACTGAACGTTTGTGTATGTTTTTGAGCAAATTTGCTGCTATTCTAAGTTTTAGGTTTTACTAGACTGCTTCTATAATGCATAAAATAATGTTCAAGTTTTATTTATAATGTCAACACTTACTGATTTGACACTTAGTTTCAGGAGACATCCAGCCCAAAGCCTTCATTCCTTTTGCTGTTTAATAGTTTTGTTTTGTTGTGGTTTCTTTTTAGCAGTTGTAGGCATTGTATGTGTGGAGTGCAGTGAAATGAATACAAATTACTGACCTTAGCCTGCAGTTAGAGTGGCGGTTTCAATGTTTACAGGACAGAGACTATTGATTGTAAACCCATACACGTCCACTGAAACAGTGCACTCTTCATGTGTTTTGGAAGCACTGTTTCTGCTTACCATGGTAATTAATGGAATTGTTGCCTTCTGGTTTTAGAGTCCTGGTTATGTTGCTTTGGAGAGATTTCAGTGTGGGTTATGGCTCCTCTGCCATGAACTCACAGGGCAGAATTTGTACTGACACAAGTGTGTTATATTGAACATGTTTTCTGAAAGAGTGACTTTATTTTTTGTGAAGATAATTTATGAGAAGGTTTTATAGCAGATCAGTGCTGAAAAAGTTGAATCTTGAAATAAATGTTTGTAGATATTAAAGATCTATCCCAAAGCAAAGTATTTTTTAATAGGGCAGTATTACTGGTGTAGTTAACCCTCTGAGCTCTCCTGGTAGCATACCCATTTAGCATGTGACTCTGCACTGGTCAAGTGTGTTACTTAGGGGACAACCTGATTTCAGAAGATATTACTTAATTTATATTGTGCATATCCCCTATTAACCTCTGGCAGCAACTCCCCATATAAACATCAGCCACACAAGGCAGAGCTTCTCCCCATACAGATCACTGCAGGTTGAAGAGCAGAGAGGCTGCCCTTGTGCTTGACTGCAGAGAGGCTGTGAGTCTGGTGACTGGCACTTACAGTCCTCTCTCTCACCATTATAGAGTGTGCCACACAAGTTCTTTTGCTTTCTGAAGGCAGGCAGGCACAAATTCAAGAGTGCCCAAGTCAAACTGCTAATATCTTGTCTCACCATGGCATCCATTTCCTAGTGCTGCTTATCTTGCCAAATTGGGTAGCAAGAGGTGCTTGAAGTATTACTGAGTATTTATTGTGTAATTTTTGGGTGCTTATAAAGCCTTCACTGCTATTTTAAAGCAAAATTTGGGGATCTGTAGCATAGCAATAGCTGTATAACTCTAGCATTCCAAACATGCCCAAAGTTATCCTTGTAATAGTTTAGTTATCAATGGTGTAGCTAGCAGCAATCAGTATCTTGAAGCTACAAGTTCTAAATATTGGAAGACAACATCTCTGCTTTGAATGCAAAGCATTAGAGTTTGTAATTCACTATAGATTTCAGCATCTTTCCTACTTAAAAATGACTGATGACATCTTAATTCTTCTCAAACTATAACTTAACTATTGCTTAAATAACTGTTTTTCACCTCTGGTTATTTAAATAATCCAGTTTACACAGTTGTATGAATGCTGTTTTATTATCAAGATACTCTTAAGGTGTCTCATAGCATTTCTTGTGAATGTTCTAATACATCAGTAATAAATAATCCTGACCCAATAAACTAATGTAAGCTGACAAGTTACTGTCTAGTGCTTATTCTTTGTGCATCTGCCTAATTCTCAGAGAAAAAAGCAGCCTAAGTATAAGCATTAAAGTGGTTGAAAACAGTTTCCACACTCTGTGCCTCAAACCAGTAATGTGTTATCACACATTTACTTGTGGATTGGTCTCAATAACTAGCTTTTAATGATGTAACTTGTTTCTCAATGTCTGCCTTGCAAATGAGACGTCACTATATTGTGGTAACTTGTCTACAAAAAGCATACCTAGTGTACTAATAGATTTTTTAAAAAGTAATTTATAAAATATGGACTTTTCTCTTATATTTAAACATCTGTTTATCCTTGGGTTCTGTTCTTAGAAAATTCTATGTATATTTTGCAATACGTGTTTTGTGTTTGACTGTACATTTTGCACCAATATGAAAAATTGTATTCTAAGTATTATTTACAAGTTCCAGAGATCTGTAACTAGAATTTGCTGTGAACAAATACAACATCTCTTCTACCCTGGATGCTTGTGGAGTAGTTATGCTTTAAAAATAGCGGAATATACTTCTGCAGAAACAAACATACTTTATCTCAGCTGGGCACTGCTTTTACAGGAATTCTGTAGCCTTGCTGTTTGAGATTGGGTCATGCCCTGTGGAAGGATGGCTGTCTTCTAACAGTGTGATTTCAAACATTTTCATTTGTGAGACAACATCTAAATTTGATCCCTGCAACATTCAAGAACCTCTAGAACTCTTATTGTTCTGGTTAGCACTGTAATTGGTAAAGTCTTTCTGTGATAGCACCACAGTTTAATGCACACAGACTTCAGACTTCCTTTAATGATGATGCAGATTTTCCAAGGTTTTTTTGTACAATTCATTGCCCTGTTTGCCCTTCTCTAGAAAGACATGACCTGGTTTTCAGGCTGTGGGTAACAGGCCCACACATAGCCTTGTGCTTGGCTCAGGTGAACAGCGGTGGACCTGGCCTGCACAACTCAAGGGCCAGACCTCATGGACCTTGGATTGGAGGGACTCAGCTGGGACAAGTGGAAGGGCTGTCCAGTGAGCCAGGCCCAGGTGGAAACTCTGCCCCACTGTGGGTGGACAGTTCACCCCTCCTTGGAGGTTAGGGTCTGCCTTTCATGGCTGGGGATGGGGGGGAGGCACTCGGCTGAACACCTCCACTGGGGGTGTTCCTGCTGCCTCTGGCAATGAGCAGTTGGTTCTCCCTGCTCTGTTCAACAACTGACTGCAGAACTAAGGAGGCCTTGGTTATGTCCTAATAGCTCTGGAAAAACCTTACTGTTCCTTGCTGGACTGCAAATCAACAAGCTCTGAAGCAGCTATAGTTACATTTAAATCCATACATGGAAAAATTCTGTTTGGGGCTACAGTTCTGGGAAAAGAGGGGAAGCAAGCAAAACACTGACCTTCATATAGAGAAAAGAAAAAGACAAACCACAAAACATCCAAACTTGAAATTATTTTTACCCCTGCCCTCCTCTGGGCTGAGAGAACTGTAAGAAGAATAGACAGCTACCAGCAGTCCCTCCCTGCCTATACAGGGTTGTGCCTTGCAATCTGGCTATATCGCTTTCTCATCAAGGGGAACTGGTGTCTGAGAATGGGAAGGATGGGTTGGACCATGATAAATCCCAGTGTAACTTCAGTGTGGATTTAGCCACCAATTAGACAATACTCTTTGAAGCACAGCTTAAAAAAAAAAATCCTTTTAGGTAAATAATGAAGTCACAAGGAAATTAAATTTAAGGGCTAATGGAATCATTTTGGACATCAAATTGATAATCAGATGACAGCTTTGGGCCCTAAAACAGATGCTTTCTTGTTGTGAACAACTGCAGCACCTCTGATCTCTCCTGCCAGGTCTGAATAACCAAATGCTGGAAGATGCAATGGTGGTGGCATCAGCAATCAGCATCTTGAACACAAATCCATGCAGACAGAGCAGTGCCTGTGCAGGTGCCCACCTCCAGGCAAGCAGCCTTGATATGAATAATACAAATGGGTCAAACTTTGTCTCCTCTTCAACTAATAAGGCTCAACATTCACTCTTGAATGAATCTCTGTCCCTCACAATTTGCGCAGACTTCTCTTGTAGCTGGCACCATACTATATTGGTCTATCCAGGACCTGGCTTTCAGGTTCTGGAAACCAAGAAATCCAGCCTAAGAGTCTACTAGGGAATCACAGAAAGAGAGAGGGATGGGAAAACGAAGAGCAACACAATGGTTATAGACAGGTTAGAGAGGTAGAACAGCCAGCACAGATGAGGCACAGAGTCTGCAGAGACAAGTGCTCTGACCGGAAGCCTAGTGACTTAATGCAGGGCCCTTGTAATCGGGGGCAGAGACGGGGGTAGGCATCAGAAAACACACAGTGAAATTGCAGACAAACACCTCACTCCACACCAGAAAATGAGGAAGGGACAAGCTCTGTCAATTTCAGGGCTCCTCTCAGCCAACCTTTGCTGTGTTTACCACAATTAGCCACTCTAACAGACAAGCACTGGCACCTCTGCTGGACCAGTGCCCTCAAGTCTGTGCCAGATAACTAGGAGGCTGCTGTCAGTCCAGGATTTCTGGGGATGTTGCTCACAACACCACTCATTTGCACACTGTTTTGAGGTCAGTACCTCCTGGCTCAAAGAAGCTTTCCCTGCTGCAATTTCCAAAGCACAAGCAGATCAGAAGGCACAAAACATTCCCAGCAGCAAGGACATGTCGATCTTGCCAACCCCGCTTCAAACTGCCGAAATGGAAACAAATTAATCCAGTCACATGGTCACTACACAGCCTTGCATTGAAGGTCCTGCTCCCATATTTTTCTGTCCCACAGGAATGGCTTGGTGTCCTCTGATGAAGCAGCCTCTCCAGCAAAACATGGAGCAGAGCTGATAGCAAGTCTTCTACGACTGACTCTCAATCTCATAAGCCACAGTCCCCACAGGCAACCCCCAACATCTCCAGTCCAGAAAAATCTCAAGGAGGCTGAGATCGCCATCTGACAGTGTCTCAGCATGGCTGCAAAAAAGGTGTGAAAATTATACTCATCTAGGACATGCCAGAATTAAAGACACTCCATCAGAACTGCTACACAAACGGAGACTGCTTCAGTTGCCTGGGTGGCACATTTTTTTCTGCACTCTCCCGCTTCAGCTTCCCAGTCTTTGGCACCTACCGGCACCTCCCTAACTCCTCATCAACCATTCCTGCCACAGGACTTGTCGTCACTCTTGTATTACTGCAGTCTACAATGGCTTGTCATATTTGTTCTCCTCTAGAAACGTTTAACACCTTTTTCAGGCTTCTTTGGGTTACAAGTGAAGATTTTTAGGATTTTTTCAGTCTTTTAAAGTTTGTAACTGTGGTGTGTCAACAGTTCAGGTCATAAACTAACCTGCATCCTGCTAAAACCTGTCCAAGATCTCAGTTTTATCTGCCTGTTAGAGGGAGCTGCTTGAGTTTCTCTTAATTACAAATATCCTTCTAAAACTTGTCTGACAAGTTTTATAAGTGTTGGCACAAAAATGAAGCAGTGTCAAGTACCATTCTACTACAACAGGGACTTTAGTTCTGGCAATTCCTTTTTAACACAAACACGGACATTTGCTGCTGGGCACGGACCACTTCATGATGTTCCTGGCTAGTTAACTCACTGTTAGACTGGAGGTTGCTGCCCTCTTGCTTTCTGACTGAGGATAGCAGAACCGCCCCTGACTTCGGAAAGCCTTTCAGGAACTGCCCTGACACTGGATGTGCAATTGCTGTGGTTTAAAAATTATTTTAAAAGAAACAATGCGCTGTAGTTATGCAAAGATGTTTATGCTTTAACTATTTGGTTCATGGACTTTAAAAGCTTGTTCCATCTTTCTTTAAGTAATCCTCCTCTGAAATTATAATCAGTTTGGGGAAGAAAACTGATGGCAGTATGGTGCGGTTCTGAGGGCACAGGTTTCTAAGATTGCTCTCCCAGGGTTGCTGAGAACTGTATTGCCAGCAGGTCTTGCTGGGTCTCGCAGGCCAGTGGGGGTGTGAGCCCATGGAGCAGCAGACAGCATTGCTGGGAGGAGCGGCAGAAAGGTGTGGGGTGCTGCTCTGCAGGTGCCATTCCCCCCCAGAAGGGGGTACGTGCTGGGGGAGCATTGGCAAGCTGTGCCCTGGGGGTGGCCCGCCACAGGAAGGGTGCAAGGGACCCAGGCCCCTGCGGAGGGAAAGTTGGCAGGGGGAGTTTAGCTCTCTGAAATTTGCCTGCAAAGCAACACAGGGCAGCCCAAGGCATGGCCCAGCAGCCAGCCTAAGTGGTGCTTGGCTTGAGGTGAGTTGGGGTGTGCTGGTTTCTACTGGGATAGAATGTATTTTTTTCAGAGTGGCTAGAATGGGGCTGTGTTTTGGATTTGTGCTTCACACAGGGTTGATAATATAGAGATGTTTTAGTTATTCTTGAGCAGGGCTTACACAGAGTCAAGGCCTTTCCTGCTTTTTGTACTGCCATTTGACAAAATGCTCTGTATTTAAATCTGGGTGCAAGAAGGAGGAAGAAAGAGACGTTTGGAGTGATGGCATTTGTGTCCCTAAGTCACCGTGAGGAGGGAGGGGGCCCCTGGAGATGGCTGAAGAGCTGCCTGCGTAGGGGAAGTGGTGAATGAATTCTTTGGGGGATTTTGCTTATGTACTTTTAATATTTGCTTTTGTTTTCCATATTTTACTGTCTTTATCTCAAACCAAGAGTCTTCTAGGTTTTGCTCTTCCAGTTCTCTCCCCAGTCCCACTGGTGGGGCAGTGAGTGAGTGGCTGTGTGTGGCACTTGGTGGCCAGATGGGGTTAAACCAAGACATGGAGGAATAATGTTTCACACAGCCATGACATTTGACATCATGGGGGCCAAGCCACAGCTTTCCACAGAAACAGCAGTGGAGAACAAAGCCGAGCACTGCTCCAGGGCCAGCTCCAGGGGTGCTGAGAGCTGGGCAGCCTTGATGGCAAAGTTCTGCCTCCCCTGAGGAAACAGTGTGAAAGATGTCGTGTCAAGTAAGAGCCTGAAATTCATGGCCCAGCATGGCTAAAGGCCAGGCCCCACAGTACTCTGCACGGGGGCACAGTGATGTACTGTGGTGGCACAACCCCAGACAGACACCAGGTGTCTTGTTTGGGATGCAGGTGGGGAGCAAAGCCCTCAAGAGCCCAAGAGCCAGGCCCTGCATGCATGAGCTCAGAGAATTTGGTGGGGCAGAGTCTGCATGGATTGAAGACCAGGTCCCAGAGTGGATGGCTTAAGGGGGACCTGAGGTGGAAGGAACTGCAGAACAAATCTCTCCTGTGCAGCTAGATGGCTTAGTCCTTCTGTCCTCTATACAATAGTATCTTTAACAAAACACAGCACCGAGTTTTCTCCACTGTACCTCCACCCTGCTTTCTCAGGACCACAACAGGGGTCCACTCAGTCCACTCTCATGACATTCAGAGCTGTGGTGCACACAGAAAGGCCCATCTCGAGTCT